AAAGCATGGTGTCTGATCATCAAACGTCCCGCTACCACCTGTTTTCTTTGGCAGTCGCCCATACAACGGACGGGGTTGTGCAGGGTCAGAATAAAGCTTCATAAGGTACTGAATGTAGAATAGAAAAGAACCACAAAGACTGGCGGTGTGACGCACGGCTACTGTAGATCTCATCCCACACAGGGGAATGCTTATTCAGTCATATATTTGCAAACAAATGCTGCTTAAAGAAGGTAATATCTCAGAAAACATCCTGGCGAATGCCTGTGAAGGATGAGAATATGTTTCGCTTGATACCATTACCATCACAGGCACGTTTATTGTGTGCTGACAGAGCTGGTGTCCTACAGCTGGATTAAGTACATTTGGGGGCGTCTTAACTGGCGCTCTCCAGGGGTCTGGATTTGTTCAGGTTGGCAGTTTACTGCAGGCTTAAGCCACAGAGTGTGACAAAACCTAGTGACAACCAAGCAAATAATGTTTACACCAAATACTGTCCCATGAGATCCTATACACATTTGCATTGTTAAATTAAAGCTGTGTGTATTACAACGTATCATGCTTTTCTTAGATATGGATATTACCTTAGGGTTAAGGGTTTGATTAATGCCTTATAAAGCACTGAGTAGTAAACTTAACCATGTAACTCACCCCACACTAATTGGGTGATGGACTTGACTGATACCTCAAATTATGTGGTATGTTGAATTGATGGCAAATTCGTATGAATTTGTATGATCTCATTCGTACATTTTCATATGATCTGCTCACGCCCCATTGGTGGTAAGGTTCAGGGGTGGGGTCAGTGCCGGTCTCGAGTCCCACGGAGGAGCTCCGGGAGGATAAAAGGAGTGAAGACAGTGAAGGACGAGAGAGGAAACGCTTATGTTGTGTTTTATTATGTTTAAATGCAGCAGTCCGTTTATGCAGGGGCTGCCGCTTTACTTTAGTTTGTTTATTTTTGTATCCAAATTTATTTTTAATGTTTTTGCCGGTCCCTGCCTCTTCCTTCCCTGAACACAAACCTTGCTACAGTTTTTTTTTGTATGATTCTGTACAAATTCTGTACAACTGTACAAATTCGCTACCATTTCACCAAAGTGTTAAATACCTAGTAAAATGTTCTCATGAGATCAGGTTAGCCTTATCTATGGACTAGAATATTATATGGGTGGGCCAGTAAGCAATCACCTAGCAACTGCATAGCAACACCCTGACAACCACCCACATCAACCTAGTATATGCACAAGGTGTTCTTGTTGCTATGTGGGCGTAGGTGTGGTAAGGATGGGTGATAGACCGTTGTAATGTGGTTGCTAAGGTGTTTTGGATAGTTGCTAGACCGTTGCTATCTCGTTGTTAAAGTGCTCTAGGTGGTTGCTAGAGTACTGCTATTTGGTTCCTGCAATTGCATAGCAACGTATCAACCTATACACACACACACAGAGATTCTGATAGGGTGTTCTGGCTGGATGCTAGAACATTACTATGATGTTCTGGGTGAATACTGTTGCTAAGGTGTTCTGGGTGGTTGCTAGTATTGCTATTTGGTTGCTAGGATTTTCTTGGTTGTTGCTAAGGTGTTGCTCCCACATCTCTTCATGGATCTCACCATAGATATGTATACGTAGATGCCACATACGAGCCAGCCATCTTGGAACTGTCAGCGTGTTATGTATTAACTCAATATTTCAGGGTTTTAAACTATGGTAGTCTCGCCTAGCCAGACCTTCAGACTGATGGCAGAAGGTCCGGACTCTATCGCAGCTTTTCTTGGCCAAGGACCGCCCAAGAGGACGTTTGACTGACATGTAACGCAACCAATCACAGTTTGTTTTATTCCACGTCATGTTAGGGGCGTGCCAATATAATGTTGATGTCCCTACAATAACAGATGCCTTCGTCATGTTGTTATGTGTTAGTTTAGCAAAATCATCTGCTGAAGTCTATTGCAGATATAGATATTCATACATGCGCCTAACTATGGTTGCAGACGCACAGTCAATTTGCTCTCGAATTTTCACAGACCGGGTTAAGACCATTCCAATATGGCGGAGGACTAACGTATAGCGGCCCATAGAAACAACCGCTAAGAGGAATCTATGTATATATATGGATCGCACTCCCCCTTACATCTTTAAACAAAATTGAAAGCCTTTGGTGCTCCTCACAGGAGTGCTGCTGTGCCTCTGTTTTGCATTGAAAGTTTTAGAAGAGCTACATTCTTGCCAGCTGACTCACAAGATAAGAGTTTTTATGTGTTAATCCCACACCGGCGGCCTGGTAAGCTCCGTCTGACAGCAAGCGTGCTAACGCTCACACCCACTCGCTTCTGGGAGCCAAGCCACAGTCGTCCCCAAAGGTCACGTATATATAACGCTTATCTCCCCTATAAATCTGCCCTCAAGACCAAACACTTGCTCTGGATCTGTGGACTAAAGCCTACAGTGGGAAGTTCACAGTTCCCAATGCAGCATTCCTGTATGAGCAAGGGTATTTGTAGGGATGCTTTTAAGTCGTGGTTTAAAGTCCAATTTCAGTATTTTATGTATATTTTATATATTTTCTAATATTTATATATTGTGCTTGTAAGAAACCCATCACTTTTAAGCTAAGAGCTTGTGGATGGTAGCCAGGGCGTTGCTATATATTTGCTAAGACGTTCCAAGTCATTTTCAGTGTGTTGCTAGGTTTCTACATCTACAGTATAAAGTTTCTAGGGTGTTTTGGGTGGTTGCCAGGGCATTTCTATGGAGTTCCCAAGGTGTTCTGAAGGGTTTTCACTGTGTGTTGCTATGTGGTTGCTGTCATCAAAAGAATCCACTGAATGCCACATTCAGTATTGCTTGCCATGTCATGTGAAAATTGTTATAAAAATAGCTTACAAAAGTAATAGCACACCTCTCCTCAACACATTTTCATGATTTAATGCAACATTCAGGTCCGTAGCACAAAAGGTAATGCGCTGAAATGTAACATTTAGGGTCATGGAGTTTGAAAAACTCATTCTTAATATAATTGCATGCCTTTGCCTATATCACTTCATTGATTTTTTAAATGTCATTTGAACCTTACCCTGTACCCTAATATGAAAGTTTTAAAGGATATAATTGGTCAAGTTTTTTCAACTTTGAAACAGCTGGTTTGGTTTCAGCATAACAAGATTGTTATCTTGAACAAATGACTGAAAATGAATGTAGTTGTAAGGACCACACACATATTGGGCTCTGAGGACATGGTCATCATGTGACTCGATGAATATACACAAAGTCCTCTCCAAAGAACAAAAAGTTGTGAATACTATTTTAGCTTTCAGCGTCTATCGATATGTCCTTGTACGGATTAGTGCGCTAATTAAAACGTTAGCCGATTCTGTTTAGGAACATGCATAAATTTCAACACTAACCACATAGTGGTTACACACTGCCAAGGGGGTAATTTTACAATGTTCAAAAGTAAACATACTCTGACATGTTTTCCACAAGTCTTTCTCAACACAGAAGTTTTTCTGGCAAAGACAAGGTGTGAGGTGGAACTGTTGAACAACGGAAAACATAATCAGACTAGCTGTGGGAAATTTCTGACATTCCACAATTGGAAAAATGTATCTTTGGATGCAATGCTGAAAATGAAGTAACAATAGAGAGCTATTGGCTCACTTTGATACTTCAATCTTGATCTAAGAATTACAGAGCCAAAAACAAATCTGAGCAGCTCTGTCTTACAACATGACACCAATTAGAATGGCTTGAGATCAGAATCACTTCTGTGCAGGATCCAAAATTAACACTCGCTGAGTGCCAAAAATCAGTAAACAATGGCTTTGGCTAGTTAATAAAGCTAAAAAAAAGTTAGTTTTTTTTAGGAACTGCAACATTATACATGGTTTAATTCAAGCAGTGAGAATGATCATCTGAATTTTTATTATATAAGTGACGTTTGGAATTATAATCAATGACATATCAATCTGTCTACTAATGTTGGAAAGTTAAAATAATTGTATTGTGAAGGTAAAGTTAATTTCATTATTCATCATTTAGGTGAATTAAATAATTAAATATTTGTTTAAAAATATATGCAAAATTTTTTTACAATTATTTTTAAAGAATTTTGTGGCAATTTTATATATAGTGGCCACAAAAAAGAACACTGTTTGTATAGCAACGGCTTCCCTTTTTGGTCTCTTTCGCCAATGACATTTTGTACAATGACAAATAAGCTTGCATGGCCTTTACCTGACAAAGTTTCAGGTTGCTTTAGATTAATGGGGCCATCATTTTGGACACGCATTACCGACCAGCATGACAACCCAGGCGCTTCATTCACTCATCCATCTTAACAGCAAATTTAGAAACAACCGTGTTGTCAAACCAAGGTGATTCATTCAGACCAACAAAATAAATGGCGAAGAATGCGAGTCATGCTAACCTGACTATTTTTACTGCTCAATCTCAGTAAGCTGCCGTCTTATTTTAGCAATGATTTGGCATTTAGTGTGGGTTTTACATGAGGACATATGAATGAAGCAAGCAGTAATACATTCAGAGTGGCCATTTGGCTTCAGTCATTTTTCAAAGTAGCTTTTATTTCATGCACATAACACCTTGAAGGTATCTTGTTTAGTTGCTACTGACTGCCTCAACCTAAACTAAAAGTATTTTCAAAGACTTGATGCTTGAAGCATTGCAAACTCTGGTTAATCCAGCAACCTGAAGTGCTCATTGTGTGCACTTTTATTCTCAGATACTAATCTAGCCATCAGATTTGAGCGTACAATTTCATATGTTGTGTGCATCATGAACAGTTTATAGTCAGATGGTTTGGACTTTTTATTTCAAAAAGGTCATGAACCAAGGTTTATCGGAACCAAACCAAACAACAATGCTCATATTTGAAGGGATGTTTAAGTGCTTGGGTATTAAAAAAGATAACTAGAGATGAAATATATTTCTCTGATATACAATGACAATGGTATATGTGTCATGATACATTGATCTTTCGTGCACAAGTTGAGTATTAATATCATTGTCCATGAAGTAAATGAAGGGTTACTCAGTTATCACTGTTTAACAATATTTTTTACATCGCCCCTTCAAAGTATCATTTTGGACAATTAAATGGAATTATTCTTGGCGTGAAATGCGATTTATTGCTATGTTCTTTAGGAAGCTTGATGCTGTGTACATTGTTCTTTCCCTAAAACTGCATTGTTGCATTTATCACAGCTGTCCAAAAACATAATTCGATGTATATAGGCACACATATTATCAGTTAAAGGTGTTTTACAGTTTGAAAATAGTGAAAGAATTGTGTCCTGATCACAGTTCGTTCAATAAAACACCAGACAATGCCCATTGTATAATTTCCCATGACACCCACCGTCTACCAGTGCTCCAGACTGGCCTGTGATCTCTACGCTTGCATCATTGAAGGCGAATAAAGTTCAGGGTTCTGCAAGTGGAGATCAGAGCGTTATAGTCATAAACTACACATCCTGCAATGCATTGGCCCACTTTAAAAACCTGAGAACAGAAAAGCACCAGTAGCTGCTGATTGGTTATGATCACGGCAGTCAAGTCAAATCGAGCCAGTCGGGTTTCTTATGTGGTTTACAGGTGTGGACATCCACAGTTTCCTCGCAGTCCCTGCACTCGACAGCGCAGCACCATTTGAACTTGCACTCGCATTTGGTCACACGTTTTACACGGGTGGTGTCGTACCCGCGGCCGCAGCACATGACCTCGCAGCCGTCCATGCCTCTGGAAGACTTGTTGCACACCCGTCCTGCTGTGCCCAGAGAACCTGAAATATAAATGCAGGTTTTTTCAGTTACAGTAGTAAAATGATCCATTGTGAGTCAATAGGCCAAACGTGTTTTCTGAGATCAGGACCTTTACAGAAATGTACCATGTTTTTTTTTTTGGCCATGGGACAACTGCGCTATTTTCACGTCTAGGTCACATTCCTCCCCAAAACCAAAAAAAGAAACAAATTATAATCGAACCAAAAATCTAAACGTTATTTATATTTAAAGGAGCATTGCGGAAGTGCTGAAATTTCTTACCGTTACTGACACCAGTGGCCGTTAGAGAAACTGCAGCCAGTCTCATGCTCGTTCTCGGTGCACACGCTCGTTGGCCGCACTAGACAAGGCTTTTTTTTTCTTTTCTTTTTTACTTACGAGGAGTTTCCCAGGGTATCTGGATTGTGCTGGAGGCTGGTCGCTTCTTTCCGTCCGCAGAGTCCATCTGAAACACTACTGCTAGCGATTGCCACTGCTTACTAATGGCTGCCGTACGGATGTAAACCCAAGGAGACGAGAACGCGCATGACGTCACATTTTGTGAATTTTCATGCCAATTCGGATCCGACTCCTCCAAACACAATTGAGCCTACAGGCTGATAGAGGCAACCGTGGTGGACAGTCAAGGTGTCATTCTTTCTATTACATTATGGTTGGCTCATAAATGTACAAATGAAGACTCTATCTTAAAGATTTTTTTAAGTAAAAACCTACACATAGCCCCTTTAATAAAAGCATGCAAAATCAAGCATATTTTAGGACCTATTTTAAGACTTATTTTGCATTATGACTAGGGATGCACCGAATCCAGGATTCGGTTTCGGATTCGGCCGAATATTGGGCTTTTTAACAGGGTTCGGTTTCTGCCGAACCTTAGAATTTTTTTCCACCGAACCCTAGGCTTGCACTACGCGCTCTACGTCGATGTCACGTCACGCTGCCGTTGATTACGGGAAGGTGTTTACCTTAGGCATGTTCAACTTGAACCGGCGCTGCACAGACCGATTGGTGAATGACATCAGAGTATATCATCAGTATGACATCAGAGCGAATAGAGAGCAGACGGCTCCTTATGCTTTTGAAATGCTCTCGCGGTACTTTGATGTCATAAACCGATCGGTCTGTACAGCGCCAGTTCAAGTCAAACAAGCCTGTAGTGTTACGCGTTGTGTCAAGAGGACCCACGGAGGCGACTGGCATCTCACAACTCGCACTTTATTCCCCAATTGAACTCGTGTAACTGTCTGTCACACGTTCTACCGTCCACAGCGTTACTTAACAAAATAAGATAAAAAATGAGCATCAAACAGAAATAACTCGCATACTTGGGGTGTTCGAGGCGCACGGCACATACAATACAGACTGCAGACAGTTCAATAGGGAGCGCGCAGCTCTTGACACATCTTATTTCCACTCGTTACAGTAGGTGGACCGTTCGAATGCAGTAGGCTGTGAGAAAGTGAAAATGGAACTTGAGCAGAAAGAGTGTTGTTTGGCGGTACTTTCAGTCAAAAGAAGGCAATTCAAGACAAGTCGAGCTACATGTTCAATTTGCAATACCAATTTGTCTTATGGTGGCAAGGACTCTAAACAATACACATCATCGCCGCTGTTAAAATGCATAATGTTGCTTATTCTTTTTCTTTCTTTTTTTTTACAGTTAAAATAAAATAAAATGAAAAATCCACGTTGTTTACTTCATTAATGTGTTTACTTTGTTAATGGACTAAGGATGAGAGTAGGATTCGGTATTCGGTTTCGGATTCGGCAGAATCTTAACCAGTGGATTCGGTATTCGGCCGAACCCCACAAATCTGGATTCGGTGCATCCCTAATTATGACTTTACGTTGGAACTGAATAATGTGCTTTATCGTCATTTAAAATATTGGACTTTTTGGATTTTTATAATTGTCTTTATTCTTGTAGTTCTCATTAGATTGTCATTACTATAATCATTTTTGATAAATTTATATTATTACTGTATTACAGAAATTACAGAAACATTTTTTTATGACGGACTAAAGTTTCTGAGGCAGTGTGTAAATGTGATTGACACAAATGTGAAGTTATATCTATTTTTAATGTGCGAAAATTTCGGACAAGAATTTTGGACTCAGTGTGCAAGGACCTTTACAAACAAAAACACTCAACACTCAGCTCTTTGTTGCTTACCCGCCGATCGGTCCATTAGGCAATAGTCTGGAGAGTTCTCAACGTACACTAGATCATTTTTGGTTGTTCTCTTGTATTCTCGGTCTGCAACCTTGAAGCCTGTACCATCCTGGTTCATCATGACCTCCACAGCAGTGTTGTACTTCTTTCTCAAGTAGTCCCCTGTTCGCCGGAAATCAGTCATAGCCAACCAGCATGTCCTGAGAGCACATGACCCGCTGACTCCATGACACTTGCATTCAGTCTTCATAAAACGCTTGACTGCCTAAAGAAAACAAAACTCAGCCCATCACCTATGAACCACTCCATAACCCAGATTAAAAAGTTCAAGTTTTTATAATTAGCTTGCTGATTTCCTCCCCCAATGTTTCACACAAAAAAACTCTTCAGGGTCATAACCTGATTACCAATTGGAGTTTATTTTGTAATGATAATCAATTACATTTGAGAATCTTGACACTTACCATTCTCCCACAGCGGTTGTTGTGCAGATTCGTCAGTGCTCTGGCATCTTTGACCATCCTCTCTCTGGCATCCACAAAAGCTTTGGCAAACTTGATACCGTAGTTAATGTTGTCGCTACAGCCGCCCCAGTCAAAGTCCCCTTCTTCATCGCTGGCTCGGCCTCTCCTGTGTGTGTCGCAGCCGCAGATCTTCAGCTCTCCTTGACTGCATGCTCTGGTGATGGCATAAACTACGCCCGCAGAGGAAATTGCATAAACGAATGCAGCTTCACGGCTACCTGATGGAGGAGAATTTTTCATATTAGCATGTTAAAAATGTGGTATAGTTCTGTGCTTCAAAAAGAATTTCATGTTTAGTGTATAATTCCAGTGCCAAATGGGTTATGCACACTGTCTCATGTTGACTTCAGGGTGCTCTCACACTGGCAGTTTAGTTTGAAACGGGTCACGGTTCGCATGAAAAACTGTTAATGTGAAAGCTGTCATGTGGACACATGAGCGCACCGGGTAATGAACGTAAGAGGTGATCTGAGTTGGTTTGCACTGGAACTGTGGCGTGTTTGCATGAATGTGAAAGCAACTCGCACTTGGGTGCGCACTTGTTCAGGAAGTAAAGCAACCTGTGCATGTGTTTTAGTCGAGAATGACATCATTAATTCAACAAAACACATGTAGGGGATGACGGTGGTGATGATTTACCTTGGAGACGCGTGAGCATGTGTAACCAGTCCTACTCCACCTGCTCCAAGCGGGACTCGAACCAGCGTCTCTGGCATGGGAGGCGGGAGCGCTAACAAGGACGCTAAAGACCACAGCCACTACTGCGCCTCTTGAGATCAGGGGAGTGAGGTTTACATGCACAGCTCTTACTGGCCTACGTGTGTTACACATGCAGTGTCATTATGTAGAGCGAGTGCAATCAGAGCAGCAAATGAATGGCTTTCAATCCGCTGTCTCCTCAAAAGAGTCAGTTTGCAAGCAGCGGAAAGCCACCTTCATGTGATGCACATACAGTAAACCCAAAAATCATTCACTCTGCTGCGCATAATAGCACCAAACTAATACGAAAACACGATATATTGACCCGCATCCTGCTTTCCACCATGCGCTGTGCATGTTTTTGATGATGCAAGATGAATGCAAATGCACCAGGGTTCAATAGAATCAAGTGAGTGTGAAACCAGACAATCGCACTCAGACCAAAGCAAACGTGCCCAATGTGAAAGACCCCTTTGTGCCAACCTACGAATGGCTTACTTACAGTTGTCAGAAAGTGATTTAACATTAAAAAAGTAACTTTTCAGTAGTTTTAAAAGAGCCAAGCAAGCTGATGAGGTGTAATGCTCTTAATATGATGTTAAATCCACTGTGCTTTTGTTATATCAACTCTCTAACATCATCTCTAGATTTAAGCCCCTTGGCTGAACTAAGTGCGGGAGGCCACCCTGCAGCTTTCTAACATTCGACTGATTCGAGCTGACACTCCTTCACCTTTAGTTTCTTTGGTCGATTGCACTCATAGCCTTGAGGTGTGTTTTTTTGCCAAAGTAGCGCAAAATGACCCTTATTTTGCTCATTTTCCTCCTCCAGCTCATGCACTGAGCCAGAACAGAGGGTGATATGTCAAAAAGTGCAGCTTTGTCTGTCTGCCAGAGTCATCTGCACAAATATTTACATCTCCTATTACTGTTTATACATCAGCCTGTAGAGAACCCCCTCCGACTAGCCACTTGTATTTGGAGAACATCCACTCTCTCTCAGACTTTCGCCTATTCTTGGGAAGTGGAGACCTTTTTGTCCTTACCAGCATGTAAAGCTGTAATAGTGCTGGGAGGTATACCAGCTAGTTCTTTATGTAAAATATGCTTTCTTATATCTTTCTTTTGATTTTGGTGCGGCTCTGACATGTTCATGACAGGTCTGGTGAGATTCACCTCTGCACACAGCTTTATTTGAACTAACAGTTTGATACTTTATGAAATATGGGTTTTTAAACATGATACAGGGTTGCATAGTTCATGTCTTATTACTGTATGATGATGATGAAGTGTAGCATAAATACTGACTGCGCAACATGACACGGCCGAACACAGTGTGGTCTCGCTCCAGCGTGCTGCAGTTCCAGCGATGGTGTCGGAACTGGTGCTGGCATTCTCGGATCCACTCTTTGGCTCCCTCTCCGATGGATTGCATGAGGTCGGGGTGTCTTTGGCAGAGTTGCCTCTGCTTGTTCACCAGCCCTGGAATGTTGTCACATATGACCCGTGCACCTAATGCGCCAATGTACCTGCAGAAATACATTGTTGACTAAGCATCTGACAAATGAATAATTGTAGTTTTCCATTGCTGTAGTTGGCAGTCTTGTGATAAGAAATAATCTTGTAATGCATAATAATTTAATCCATCCCACTTGAACATCAGAAAAACACTTCTGGGTCATCTTTATTTGAAACCAAACCTTCAAAGTTCATGTTAGCCACTAGTTAGCCACACTTTTTTAATTTGTTTTTATGTTAGCCACACATTAATACATGGTTCTTTGGAATGCTTGATTCTCACTTGTCAATCATTCAGCAGTCAAACATTTTTGCGTAAAGACCACTAAATTGAATAATGTCTGTTTTCCCAGGCAACAATTTCCTGCTGTACGAGTTTCATGTCTGTTTCTTCTCACATAATATAATAATTTCAACTTAAATCAATATTTTATGCCAATTTATTTAAGATATTTTGTGATAATGATACCCCTATGATATTTTACTGTCTGCAAAAATGTTTTCCTCAAGGAGACTTAAAGAGATAGTTCACCTAAAATACACTTCCAGGCCAATCTCATGATAAAACGTAAATATTACAAGGTGGGAATTATTTAATGAATTTTTACAAAGTGATTAGTTAGTACGGGAGTGTAAGATTCTAATCTAAACCGTCAATGGGGCGAAATCGGACAACATGAGATTGTATGAATTCATATGAATTAGCTACCAATTCACCAAAATGTAAAATAGTCACGATTTGCCATGCTAAAATTCTATCATCACATACTCAACCCTCATGTCGTTCCAAACCTGTATGACTTTCTTTCTGCTGTGAAACACAAAAGATGTTTAAAAAAAAAAATCCCAGGCAAAGAAAGTCAATGGGGTCCAATGTTTTTGCCTCAGAAGAAAGAAGTCATACAGGTTTGGAACAACATGAAGGTGAGTAAATCATTTTTTGGATAAACTATCCCTTAAAGGACTATTTCTTACTCCATGATTTAGGGCATTCCAGCATGTCCTATTTCCTATTGTTCTGTGTTGAAAAAAATGCAAAACATTTGACATTCTGGTATTGATATTTGTGTTGCAGGTGTAGCATTTTCCTATTCTACACTTTCGGTTGAAGCGCACCAGACGGACACCTTCAGCGAAGTTTACGCTGTGCTCACGCGCCCTTGTCTCCTTCCCGGATCTCGTTCTTCAGTCAGTCGTGTCTGGGTTTGTGTGACAGCACAGTACAAACCTACTGAACAATTTCCACTCCTCTTATGGCTGTCCCTGTCCCTATCGCTCTCTCTCGCGCGCTCTCTCTCTCTCATACTGACATACTAGTGCAAACATAAGACCCAATGAAAGACTTATTCCTCTCGCTATAGCATCCATGGGAGGGCCTGGTGTTGCCGGCTTTGCACGGTTGCCCTGTTGATCCTTGACACACAGAAACACAATCTCGCTCTGCCTCTCTGTTCCAGAACACTTATCAGCTGCATGCGGCTGGGATTGGGAAAGGCTGCTACACGTGAGCCAGAAAAACGCTACGCGTGAATTGATTGCAACGATGACAACAATCCCCATAACTGTATAAATTACCATAGGAACTGAGAGATATTTATCACCACTGGCTCACATGGATTTGGGCATGCCGCCATGGCTGTCTTGCGGACTCATGCCGTCGAATCCCCGCTGCCTTATTGAGGGCAAAAGGGGCCATACGTATAGTTATTTCAACAGAGATTATACAAATGATAACCCTCATTTTCCCATTCATGAAATACTGTATTATTGTCTTATCGTGTGCGTTTGAGAGAAACCAAGCATTCATTTTAATTGAAAGTATCAAAAAATAGCGTGGACTGAGATTATGTTGTTTACTCAGCTGTGGGGCACTAGGCAGTGTGCTGACTATGTTGATATTGCTACCTCAGAGACATGATGGGGAACTTTTGAATGCTGCAATTAGACGTTTTTAAAGGCGAAGTCTGCCATTGTGTCATCATGTCTGCTGTTATACAATGAAGAAATGGAGATGAAAAGCAATAACTTCTGAACCAAGTCACTTCAGATCTATATCACCCCTAGCAAGTGTGTTTATATGGTGTGTTAGCGGCACACAAGTAGGTCTGCTGATCCAGCCAAGACCTGTTATAGAACAGTCTGTAATATCTTGATCAATGACATCAGACTTCTCTGTCTTTAATAACAATTGCTCTGAAAAATGATTAAACACAGTACTATGTGTGCATTTCTGCCAGGCATCGAGAGCTAATTTTCTCTCTTCTTCTTGTGCTGCTTCTGGACGCGACGACAACGCAGTCCTGAAGTGTCAACTAGTCCCTCCCTCCCATCCCTAACCTCTCTACAGATAAAGCGTTGTCGGGATAGTTCCGGTTCGCGTGGCTATGACGAAGTGATACAAATTCTGTATTATACATTTTAAGGCCAGACAAGTAGTTTATTGAGGGTTGGTTTTTTAGGGAAGGACTACATCCCTGCGCACATATATTCAAACGCGCATACCTGTGGAGTAGGCTCTTAATACGCGTGTGCGCGCCATCAGCGTTCTCACGGTTTCGCGTTTTTGTAGTTTGCGTAGAGAGAACTTAAGAGTTTTCCGTTAAACCGGTGACGTGTTAGTAAGTTAATAACTAATGATCGTCGCAACGGAAGTGAATCAATCAAAACTGACTTTAGCTGGAAAATAACTTTATTCTAGAGCTGCTATAAAACCAAAACAATCTGTTACCTTAATTTCCTATTATCACTGTGAAGCCGCTTTGGAACAATCCTTTGTTAAAAGCGCTAAATAAATGAAGATGACTTGACTTGACTTCTTGTTGTCTCATTTTTTTTTTTTTTTTTTTTTTAGTACTTTTCATTTGTCATTCAAATATCACTAACTGTACATCACCCTTCCTTGTTAAGCTCTGAACTATGAATGGAATTGGTCTAGACTGAAAAATGTAAACAATTTAAAACACACACACACACACACAAAATATGTTTGGTTAGGCCATCTTTGTGGGGACTCTCCATAGACATAATGGTTGTTATACTGTACAAACTGTATATTCTATCCCCTTACACAAACTCTACCCTTAAACCTACCCATCACACAAAACTTTCTGCATTTTTACATTTTCAAAAAAACTCAGATTTATAAGCTTGTTTCCTCATGGGCATCTCAATTTAGGTCCCCACGGTGACACGAGTCCCCATGAGTCTGTGTGCATTCAGGTTGAAGTCCCCACCGGAATAGAAACACACACACACTCTCACATATATGAATGCTTTTATGTTTATGCTTTTACATTATATTTTAATCAATTTAGACTGTAATTAACTTAATTAATTCAGACTGAATATACATGTATATTTATGTTCCCTGAAAAACAGGTTTTATTAGTAAAAAATGTATTTATTATTATTATCATTATTTTGACATGGTTTACATTTTTGGAACTATAAATAAGTTTTAATCTCAAAATCCTAAAGAAATTCTACTGTATTTCTTGTACTTCTGTGATGAAACTTGTGACTTTCTGCTGGGTGGATCATAAAACATCATTGTGGATCATTGAAAGGGGACGTGATTCATATCTATTAAAAGAACTCGAGTTGGAATTTGAATTAGAATGGCAGGAAGAGGAATTTACTGAACTGTAATGCAAAGAAATGTAACCCAGTTAATGCATTCTGGGAAATGACTTGTTCTTCCACCCTGATATACAAAAGTGAATTTATTAGGCTAAATACACGGTTTTTTTTACAATGCTTTTATCTCGATAAACTTTGCTTTTCTAGTTAAAAATTACAGTCTATGCATTTCACTTCATTTAAATTTTACTTTTACTTCCTTATACTAATCTAGGAATTTCCATCATAATTTGGAGACATTCCGGATATGATCAAACGAGATCATATACCGGATAAACTGAAATTTCAATTTTTAGTGTTTTAATTTACGATTCTTGTTATGATTGTTCCCAAATTGTAATACAAATTCAGTGAGCGTAGGATTTGATTGGATGGGATTGGTTTATCTGTGTAGTAAATTAGGCCTACTGTGAACTACCTACTTAACTGACAGCAACAGTTCTATTAGTTTTATTTTTTAGGTCTTTAAAATGTTCGATTTCGAAAAGAAAATTAACCAGCAGGCTCTTGTACCACTTTAAATAGCCTAAACAATTAGAAACACCTACCACCAAGACGAGTCCACAGTGGGAGTAAACATGAGCAGCATTAGGATAAAGACCCGGTAAATCCGGTGAGCGCTGCCGCTCGGTTCACGGCGTGACAGAAATTCTTGACGCGCGCACTTTCTGTCCCTGCGCGCCGCCGACGCGCATCCAAGTCCATCAAACTCTCGCATGTTGTACACGGGCAGTTTGTAAGGGAAATAAATAATCCAAAAAGAAAACGAAATGTCACAGGTTCATTACGGCTCTTGAGATACTGTATTCCTCATAATTCAAAATAATGTAGTTAATATCGATAAAGGTACTGTGAATGAAAAAAGAAATATCCGACCATAAAATATTCATTAGTATCCAAGTGAGTTCCTTTCACTCGAGCAGCAGGAGGAATTTGAAAATGTCTATGTTAAAATTGTTATTACGGTTCCTAATTGCGTCCGGACCGGTCCATTGGGTGAGGTACAGTAGGCTATCTGTCCCGCAGAATCAGATTCAGAGGAATATCTCTGGTTGGTGGGGGTGTCATTGGCTGGCGCTCATTGGCTGGAATCAGCACGAGGAGACGAGATGAATGAGCGCGCGTCAACACACATTTCCTGATGCTGTCACAGATAACAGCCGCGCTTTTCAACACACTGTCAGACGCTGAGGCGTTACTCTCACAACTTACAAAGAAGTAAACTATCGTTTTTGGACACTACAATGATGGTAAAACCATGACATTTTTGTAGTACCTTGGATTAACATAATATTATCGTATGTCTTCGTAATGTAGCCTAATATTGTTGTACCTTGCCGTGACTTAATTGTTCGAAAGTGTTTGGAAACTTAGGCTACACTTAAAAATGTACGAATGGCTTCGCAATTATAACAAATAAACCAAGTTCCCCTTATTTTAAAGGCAGATAGCACAAGATCAATATTTCAAGCAAAACAAATCTCAAAAAGAAGTTAGTTTAAATTAAACTGAATATCTATCTATCTATATAACATGCTTCAGTATACTGTATAATGTAATATCAGGCCAGACGTCCAGTGTTTGTTTTGGTATCAACATGCCATACTGGCCTGCAAGTCTATATTTAACACAATGAATTTCTTCTCAGCAAAGATAGTCAGTGCTCATATGGGACATGACATTGTAAATGTACTGTATATAATAACCCCAACTTGCTCATAAAATACACCACTGCTATTAAATGGAGGGGGGACTGTTTTACACACAGTAAACAACAAAGAGCTCTAGAAAGAATGCACTGTCCTTTAGCTTCCTGCCAAGATCATTAATGGATGACATATGCACATTAGGTGATACATTTTATAGTATCCATTTTGTTTGAATGCCACTTATTTACTTATATTAAAAGAATATAAATATGTTGTATTAGAAGTTTGGGAATTTTGAAAATACTTGGAAACAGACATTCATATATATAGCCTATCTAGTATATACTAGATTACAGTATATAAGGCCTGTGCAAATTAATTAAAAATAAAACATTAAGTGTTAGCTAGTGATACTTGCCTGCAGAACCACCACTAACTGATTAAATACCAAATCTAGTTCCAAAGGTAGCTACTATTGGAGCTCACACAGTGCAGAGCATCACTTGTATCATTTTGTTGTCTCTAAACAGAGTATGACCAGAATACTTAACCCTTTGGGACCCAGGATGTGCACCAATAATTAGTGACATGTCCTTTCTGTACTGAGAGGTCAGTGCCCTCCCCTCCCCTGATCTAGAGGAGCTGGTGATTATAGCAGTGTGTGGGAGACAGATTTCACCAGGCCAGGCATGCGTCCCTGTCGGCCTCGCAACCTCGACCTACTGTCCCAAACAGGAATGTTAATTAGCAGCATCCACCAGAGGGGGTGACCATCCCCTGACACAGAGGACGTCTACAGATAAACCAATGTAGTCAGCAGAAATAGCAGCACTGATATTTTAAGGAGCATTAAAGGACTAGTCAAAATTTAAATACTTCATTATTTATTCACACTTTTATTATATTACATAATGTGAAGAATGACAAATTCTAATTCGATTTTTTATAGTAGATTTCATTTATATTATGTTAGATTGAATTTTTAAAAATAGATTTAAATGATATTTTTCAAGTTGTTGAGTCTTGTTCTAAACTGAATAAGCAGTGAATTTGCGCTTGACTGGAACCTGGTAAGACCATTGTGACCAGGGGGGCAGAATGGCACATACTTCATGCGTGTTTGCTTCGCTGTTTCCCGGGCCACACACACTCGCACACATATACACACACATAAAGAGGGGATTTAGGGAGAGGCTCCTGGCTGGTTAAACTGTGATCCCTGCTCCTGTTAGTCTCACATGGATGCTTGTGATGCATACACATTTTTCACACGCTTTGTCCCGAGTTTAAGACAGCAGATGCTGGGAGATCTAAGGGTCAGTTGTGCTTTCATTATAACGTCAAAATGAGAATCATACATTGACATTGACTCATTTCTGTGGGACTGAGCTTGTAGTAAGTGTTTAAAGTCACTAATAAAAGCAAAATTGTTAACACTTATTTTGTATGGAATATTTATTATGATTAATCTGTGCACATCATTATTTATTTGTTTAAATTCATGTGCCCTTGCAATATTTAATCGCAATAACTCTCTTACAGTGTCATCTCTTCTCTTCTCTGATGACGTGTTTACCGACGCGAGGGCCGGACAACCTGTCATTCGCACGAGATCGACCAATAGCAAACCACAACCATCCAATCAATTCCTCATGGACAAAATCAAGTCCCTGCCCTACAGTTTCACTTGGATATACATCAAAATAGGGAAGAAAAGACTGTTTCATGCTGACTTATATGATCAGCTCATTAAGAGGTAACACTTTATAATAACATTCATTATTAGATAACTCTCTGGAAGACTTGATTCTGATTGGTAAAAATCAGACCAAAAAAAACTTGGCTTTCTACATTTCTTACATAGCTGTGCTTCATGTTTTTAATAGGTCTTTGTGCTATTTCTTCCCAAATCATAAATCAATGTATACTTAATATTTAATTTCAATCAAATAATTTGGTAAATAGCCATTTAGGCAGGATAACATATAAGCCAGTCATTATTGCCAAATAAACACGTTCAAGGTGTTTTTTACTTAAAAAGTCATTATAGGTTTTAATTATGAATATGTATGGAAAAATCTGAATGTATACTGCCGATCTGATCATGTTATTAATGGAAGTCAATATATAGTGTCAGCAAATAAAATGAACATAATAAAGTCAATTTGAATTTACTTTAGCCTTTACTGTTAAAATTAATACTCTATGCTATAATGCAATGCACCCCTGACCCGTCTATTTATTAGTGTGACAAATTAAGTAATATCATGTTTTTTTTTCATCACCATTATTTGAGCAGACTACCACAAGTACCACATTTATACACAAAATCAGATTAAATATCAAAATAACTTTATTTTGCATACTATTTGTTTACAAAACAGAAGGTAGTATACAGTGTATACTGCGCAGTAAGCTAGTGTGCTAGTGTTAGCCTATGAATGGCTGAGGATGGGTGATACTGTAACTTTACCACCCAGTGGCCCCTGCTGGCTGGATTTAGGCGGTACAGATATGCAAAAAATATATGCTAAAATATTTTGTTCCAGCCCATGTCTACAAGTTTAACAAAGAATTTATAGATGATATTGGTTACAAAAATAACATTCATATCAGATCACAAAACGTATACAAAAACTTCATAGATAAACAGAACAAAACATTATAAGGTGATACAAACATCGGTAACATGATTCTGAGCGAGATGTGAATATTTAGGCTAAATATCCAATGTCTTTAGATATACAAAAACAAACTGCTATGTGAGAAAGCAAAGGATTGTTTGCACATGCAATCTGTAAATATATAGTTCAGTGTATAAACCAGATGACAGGGATAGGGTAAAATGGTCAGAAGTTAAAAAGTTTGGGGTTGGTAACTTTTTTTTTATGTTTTGGAAAGAAGTATCTTATGCTCACCAATTTTGCATTTATTTGACAAAAAAAATGTATATTATTGTTAAAAATATTATTATAATTAATTTTTTTGTGGAAACCATTACATTTTTCAGGATTATTTGATGAATTGAAATTTGTAGCATAAGTATCTTGATTAATGTAATGCGTCCTTCCTGAAGAAAAATATTAATTTCTTTCAAAAAAATCCTACTGACCCCAAACTTTTGAATGGTAGTGTGTCTATATATAAATATTTGTCAGAATAACAATATATAAAACTATTTATAGAAGCTGGTGATTGTCAGCGATAAACGGGTCTTATTTTCTCATGGGTGACATACAGAATGTATAATGTATTCATGCACACAATAAACATGCATTTCAATGAGATATTGTAACATTGCAAATTTACATAGAAAATATATCATTCAAATCTTCCAAAATGATTTAAAAAAACCTGAAACATCCCTTACAAAAAAAAAAAAATCAACAGTGTTTGACGTGATCGTTCATCATTTGGGCTTGCTAGCCGCTAGATGACAGCACCAGGTCTGGTTCTTTGCTGCTCTCTGGGTTGAAGCTGTGTCCGCAACCGGCCGACATTTGAGCCAAGTGAGCAGCTCGCAGGGTGGCCGGAGAAAGTGGCGTTTCAGCCAGGCCTGGTTTCTTGGGTGGGAGCGGAGGTGGGTTCCCTCTGTCGGCTCTGGGGATAGTTGGAGACCTGATGGTCGGAGACAACATCCCAGAGTGGGCCAACGTGCGGTAATCTGTGCCGAAAGGGGAACTGTTGGGGGATGTTGGTGTGCTGGGACCTTGCTGAGTGCTGAAGCGACTCAGGGCCTGTGTGACAGTGCTGCGGGCTGCTTGTTTAGATGAAACGTTGTCTGGTGGAGCCACACAGGGTAAAAGGTCCTGCGGACTGTTCGGAGGGGAAGAGACGGCCTGAGAATCTTGATCACTGGTGCCTTGGAACTTGTGACGGGCTGCGTGGAAGCGCTGGTTGATGCCAGCCTGATACGCAGCTTGTACACTAGGCACGTCTGGTGACTGATTGCTTGTCGTAGGGCTGTGAGCTTGTGAACTGGTCGGAGAGCTCCCATTGGTTAACATACTCTGCTTCTCAACACTCGCATCTTCCTCCGTAGGAGTAAGATGTCCGTTCATTTTTGTCTTGGTCTTATCTGAGCCCTCCTCAGCATCTCTCATCTCTCTCCTCAATCGCTCTAGTTCTTCCTGTAGTGCGTTACAGCGTGCTTCCTCTTTCCGTATTCTCAGCCCAAGCTGCTCCCGTTCAGTGTCAAACTCAGCCAACAGCTCCTCTCGCCTCGCCTCTATTTGCATAGCCCGCTTCTTTTCCTCCTCAAGCTCCGCCCTCAGAGTCTGATTGGCCGCTCGCTCGCGATCAAGACGATGGCTGAGTTCGTTGGCACGCTGGGACTCCTCGTGTGCGCGGGTGCCGGAGCGTTTGCATTCCCGACTCAGTGCCGTCATGAGCTGTTTATGCTGGACTCGCTGGTCTTCTAACTGATCCTGCAGTCGTTTGTTCTCCCTCTCCATTCGGGGTGTCTTTGCCTTCTCAAACTCCAACTAAACACGTGTATAAAAACTAAATCAGATCGAAATACACTGATAGATTCATAGATTTACACAAAAACATTTTGTAAGATAAGACATTTTTTCAGAGAATATACACTACCGTTCAAAAGTTTAAGGTCTGTTAGATTTTTAAATGTTTTTAAAAAGTCTCTTATGCTGCATTTACTCAAAATAAATTACTCAAAAATATAGTAAAAACAGAAATATTATTACAATTTAAAATGTCTTCTGTTTTAATATATTTTGAAATGTAATTTATTCCTGTGATGCAAAGCTGAATTTTCCGCATCATTACTTCAGTCTTCGGTGTCACATGATCCTTCAGAAATCATTCTAATATGCTGATTTGCCGCTCAAGAAACATTTCTTATTATTATCAATGTTGAAAACAGACTTCGATGAGTAGAAAGACGTTCAAAAGAAAAGCATTTATTTGAAATGTTATGTGTAAAAAAAACAAGTTTAATTAAATATTGTGTTAAATAAAACACCTTTTGACAAAGGCTTTAACAATCAGGTCTTTTAATGAACTACATTTTCTGTGGTATCTAACACTTTTGGTGTTATATGCAAAAATTTACAAATTTAATAAGATGATGCCAAGCTTGCATATGTAAATGTGTAAAAATCATGTTTCAATATATATTTTAATAGAGCAAAGACTCATTTTGATTAAGGTAAAGGAAAAGTGTAGCCTGTTTCCTAGGAGTACCTCTAGTATTAAGATGACTATAATATGATCAGTTCTTTATACCTGCTGCAGGAGGCGCTCTCTCTCCTTCTCCAGAATGTAAGTGACATCATCTCCTTCAGCAGTATCCTCAGCATGCTTTCTCTTCTCCTCCTCCAGATCAGCAATGACCTGAAACCACCACAGAGGGATGACAGAATGAGACAAAGATTAGCTTATAAACCAATCCAATCTCTCCTTGACCTGATACACTGTGGTAAATCCAATTTAAACGATATGATGTTCACATCAGTGACGATGTCAGTGGCTTTTAGCTATTATGCAGCATAAACTCACCCTCCTGTGTCTGTTCTCGGCAGCTGCCAGCTGTTTCAGCATCTTCTCCTGCATCCTTCTGCAGTGTCCGACCACCAGCTTCAGCACCGCTAAAGGGTCCAAGCGAGCCGTGGCCCCACAGACGCCCTCTCGTCTCTTGGAGGAACTTCCTCCATCTCCCCTGGTCTGGCCGGAGCTCTGGAGGACCTCGCTGTCTCTCTGCAGGGCCAGGAACGGGTCGCTCAGGTTGTATTTGCCATATCTCTCCCACATGTTGGAATCTCTACGCTGGGCCTGTAGCGAGAAGGAGACAGAGGAAGAGGGATTTATTTGATTATTTTAGATGGATTTTATTAGATATCTGCACATTTCAGTTTAAACAATTAATGTTTAAAGAGATCAAAATGTCCATAATCCTTTGACATGAAACAGCTATTTGAGATCTGATATCTTAGGAGTTTGTGGCTCATTTTTGTAGCCTCCATTTCATTTTGCAAGTCTTGTAAAGCGGCCTCCATTTTTCTCTTTCACACAGACACGCTCAGTCCATACTTGCTTTCTAAACAGGAAATGAGATGATACAGAGCATATGACCCTGCCAAAAGCAACATAAACCATTCTCTAAGGCTCTGTGTATATGTGTGTGTGAGTGTGAGTGTGTGTTCAGCTCTGTGTTTGCTGTTTTAAGCAAGAGGTCAAGCAAGGGGTCCATATAGGGATGAAAATAATTGCTTCAGTCTAGGTAGGGTCAATGCAGTGAATGGGACACCAAAAAAAGTTCCAGCTGGAGTAATTTAATACCTCCTGAAATGACTCTGAACTAAAAGGGCTCAGATTTGACCCAGAAAAAAAACAACAACACAAGGATAAGGTACGGAACTGTTGAACAGTAAAGAGAGAGTCACCATTAGCTAGGAAGAGTCTTATATTACAGGGTTCAAGTAATGTTGACAATTCTAGAACACTGTTGCCCGGACAGTGATGGATAAAGGCCCCGACCCCGCAGCGGTATACTGTTAGCAAACATCTCTGTGAGCAGCGATTAGATGAAATTGTAAATACGTACTTCGTGATTTCCTTTAAAAACCAAACTAAACACAACACACAGCCAAGGGTGAGAAAACAGCAGTTAAGAAAGCATCTGATCATAGCAACGTGTTTGCACAAGCCCAGGAATTTGGTGCTCCAGTCACGTCACGTTTATTTATATACCATTTTATACAATATATTGCTTTAAAGCAAGTGGCTTTAGTATACACGAGGAAATAGTGTCAGGCTGCATTTACACTGCAAGTCTTAATGCACAGATCTGATCTTTTGACCACATTTTTTTATCCCGCTTGTTTACATTCACTTTAGACATGACTGGTATCCGATATCTGTTCACATTAATTCCCGCCCAAAATGATTCTGTCGGTGATCACTTTACTATGCAACATGGTTTTGAATGGTTGTACTAAAATTATTTTATAATTCACGTTGGGTGGCCATGATTATTTGCCAGCATGGATAATTTAAAAGCTGTCATGGATGTGTTTGCAGCGCAAAATCTGACTGAACAGAAATAGACCGGAAAATAACGGTAAGTTTTTGTTGTTATTTTAGTAGCGTCGGATCGGATCGGATCTCGTGTGGATTTTTTTTTTTACACGTGTGCAGAAAAATTCCGATCTGTGTCAGATGTGATAAAAATATCAGATTTTTTATCTCAGTGTCTCTTTCAATTAGAATTACTATAAAGTGGCTCTCCAGTTTATTCATGTTTTTACTCTGAGAGAAGATTTCAACGTCAAAGAAGGCGGAGCGTTAGAGCACACCTACCTATTACATCATCGCCCACAGACCAATGGTAGTTCGAAGGTTTTTTCCAGTCGGAGCGAACTTTTCCGGAAAGTTCACTTTGGCAAGCTTTTCCGGAAGTTTCTTCTTCGATTTCGCTAGAAGTATATCGGGACCTTCAGGATGCTAGGGTGTTCTGTGTGGTTACTTATAGGGATGTCACGGTACCAAAATTCCAGTAGTCGGTACCGATACCATTAAAATGTTACGGTTCTCGGTACCAATTTCGGTACCACAGCAAAATCAGTTTGAACTATTTTTTTTTTATAATTTATGTAACTATTTGAAAAAAAAAAAATATATATTAAATTTAATTCAATTCAATGACTTTATTATTTATGATGGTAAATTTATGAAAGGATTGAAGGCTACATGCTGTTTAAACGAAAATATTGATGATATTGAGAAATATTGCTTATAAAAAAAGTCAAGTGAAAAATAAGCAACCTTCTATGCACACATTATTATTATTAGTAGTAGTATCTTGAATTAATGGAGACGTAGTTAAATCTATTGTACAGTAGCCTAATATAATTATTTCTGTCAATTTCTTTAAGTTAAACCAAACTTTTATTTTGACGGGTTGCCGTGAAGACCTTTGAGTTTCTGTGCGTGTATGATATGACGATAGTTTTTCTCAAATGAAACGGTAAAATGCTCATGAAGTGACTCTCGGAGATGAATGGAATCATGAATCATGTCATCATATCGTGAGGCAGCAGAGACTGAAAACAGCGCGAGCGTCACTCGATCGTGCTTGTGTGTGTGTGTGTGAGGTAACGTTTAATGAAACCGCGCGTCTACGCCGTTCATTCACACAGAGACAAGCAGAACATGAAGGGTTCATATTTAAATAGTCGTTTTGCAGTTTAATATACACAGACACCACATCAGCAGCGCCGCCGGTCGCCATGTCTCAGCGCTTTCATGAAGCGGACGCAACTTCACGCCCTTCGTGCATGCATGCGCATCCAGAACCGGGTTTGACTGGGTACTCGGTACCACCGGGACTTGGTACCGTGACGTTTAATTTTTTTTAGTACCGACTTGGTACCGAAGTACCGAATATTTTGACAACACTAGTACTTATAAACGTATTTTGGTTGTAACAAAAGAGGTTTGGAGCTTAAATGTAAAAAGAAAAGAGGGATGAAATACTCCACCTCCTTCAGGGCAGTTTGGAATGACATGGCATGTTTGGTGATTCCAGCTGAAAGCTGTGAGAGTGGGAGCTGTTAAAAATGACTAGACGTCTACAGGGAATAGAGGTATGAAAATGAATGTCAGGAGGAGGGGTAAAGACACACAGATGGATATGCATCTAAACACACACCAGGTACCATCATTAACGTTTTTCCACACCTGCCAATGGAGGATGAAAATTTACTGACCATAAATAATTATTACCAGTCAAAAAGCTGTATATAGTAGAATAGCAACAGTTTAAAAGTTTTTAAGACTGTTTTTAACATGTCATTATATATACATATATACAGTGCGGTTCTCTACTGCATTGTTAAATCTACTCGACTCATTTGCTCTTAGATTGATAGATTCAAGTTGTAACATGCATGTCCATCTGGTAAGTGTGTGTGAGAGTATTTGTGTTTTAATCTTTTACTAAAGTTCAGCAACAATACACCTTGCCATTTGAGGCAGTTCTAAGATTCTACTTCTACAGAAACCCGATTATCGGAAACTCACACACTAGCCATGATGAATGTGGTAAATAAGTGTACACTTTGAATCTTTGTGAACATCTTTGGTGCTGATGCTAGAACAGATAAATGTGCTGTGCAGACGTGACACAATGAATGAGTGTTTTACAGTCTCTGAAGCAGAAAGGGTGAGGTAGAAAGAGAGCAAGTGCAAGATCAAGAGAGTTTTGTCCTGCTGGAGGTGCTTAACAAGACATAGTAGAATATGAGAATGAAGGTGTGTAACATTATCACCGATACTTTAATGAAAGCTTGGTGCTTTAAAAAGCATTTTAATACAGCAAAAATACATACAGCAGCTTTAAAGATGAATGCTATTGGTCTTTGCTGAATGCAATTTTCTTTTGGTTGTGATGTATTCCCTACTGAAACATGTTGGAAGTTAGTGGGCAAATCAAAGGGCTAAATTCCCTGTTTTAGAAAACATCCTGTAAATGATATGGAAAAAAGAGAAACTGAAGGGAAAAAATTAAAAGTAAGGAAAGGCGTTTCTGAAGTAGACATCTTGAAGATAAGCATCTAGGAGCTGTTACATAATAAGTCAAATCTTATTTAACTGCTTTGATTTAAATTGATAGTGAAGTCAAAAAGAAAAGTGGGGGAAAGAAAGGTAAAAAGGGATTGCAACATATTTATGACAAGTCAATTTAAAGAAAGTCAAAAAACAAAACAGGAAAGAAAAGAAAGATGGTCCTGAGACCTGTAGAATTCCATAGCTACTTTTTGTTGTCTTGGAAGCTTTTCTAGTTCACACAAAATAAAAATAAGCCCAACACACACATCCAGTATTAGATGTTTAAAAAGAAGAATCAGAATAAAAGGTGAATTTAGTCTAGTCCTAAAAAGAAGGATTTTTTAATGGCCTTCAAATATTTAAATGACAATATGTCGTTGCTGTACTTTGATACACAACACTGATCTATTTTATTCTATTCTATATATTTTATTATAGATTATTATGTTTTCTTGTTTTAATATTCTTATTCGCCAATACAAATCTGGCACAAAATCTAATCTAAAATAAAGGGTCTTGAAAGTACTACTCAAGCTATTTGCTTGAATACAAGGTAATGTAAGCTTCAAATAAACAACAGCTGTTCTGTATGCAAAATCTTTTGTTTGTCAAGTTACTGGATGTCTACTTTCTATTCTATATGTATGATGCTTTGTGTGTGTGTGTGTGTGTGTGTTTAGGCTAAAAGCTTGACCAATTACGGGGGCCTTGGGAAGATTAACCTTACTAATGACTTAAGATAAGTCAGCCAGTCTGGTGCCTGAAAACAACCTTTATATGTGTGTGTGTGTGTGTGTGTGAGAGAGAGAGAGAGAGAGAGAGAGAGAGAGAGAGAGAGCGAGAGCGCGTGTGTAATTGATAGAGAAAGATCAAATATATCTTCACTAATAAAGTTAAAGTGACCAGGGATAAAGGTAAACAACATACTGACAACAGTGAGATACTTTTGGTATCGGCTATTTGCACTCCCAACATCCTCCATGCTAGCTCCTCAAATGACGAAAACAAACAAACAAAAAACATATGAAGCTATTTTTGAATGTTGGTAAGATTCATAAAACTTACTTTCAACTTAGAGATGGACACCTGGGAGGCATTCTTTCTCGAACTCAAAGTCTAACTATTTAAAACGATTTTCTTGTTAGTCATTAAATGTTTTCAAGTTTTCCCTGAAATGTCAATAGCTGCTAAGGGGCATAAATAAGTATGGAAACGATTATTTGAGCAAAATACTATTTAGTTCCACTTTTTTTTTTCAGGGAAAGCACCATAAGGAAATAATAAATTGTGTTTGTATGTACTATTAGCATGGCTAATGAAGTTATACCGAGATTAGAGGCTGTTGTGATGTGACTTCTGCCCTCCTGATTTTCCTTTGACCAAATGCATAAGGGACAATTGTAATGCGTGTATGTGTTTGAGAGAGTCGAAGCAGAAAAGTCATGCCTTAATGACCTCATTCAAAGCAGGCAATGAGTGACAGAGATTGTAATCCCAGCATGCCAGAACATCGCCCCTAAAAACCACAGAGAGTTTTAGAAGAAATATGCAGTTGGGTTAAATATACGCTATCTACTTAAGAAGTCACTTAAAAGTGATTCAAAAGAGCGGTTAATACCCCGAATCTACCGTTTGTGACACTCGCATAGCCTCAGTCCAATGCTTTAAAGAACAGGAATGCAGCAGATAATATCTGTGCAGTTTTTCCAGACAGCTTTACCACAAAAAAACATGATCTGAGAGCACAGATGCTGAGTTTTATTACCATGCTAACATGATCAGATGAACCAACGGCACTACTATAAAGTTTAAAGCTGATACTAGACAACAGGAAATGTGCGGAATAATGTTTGACATGTTTGTGCGTGTTTATGCAGAGAACAAATAACATTCAAAGCGTATTTTGGAACAAAACCAGGGGCCCAGAGTATTGCCGTTTGTACTGACGCAATGACATGCTCAAAAAGGAAGTTGTCTTGCTCACCGTCTGGCTGATTCTGAGTCACTCCTAAATTGCCAAATAAGTAAATCCACTTCATATACATATTATGGGTCCCACTTTATATTAGGTGTCTTTAACTACTAGGCTATGTCCTACATTTAAATTAATCATTTGATACAATGCACTTATTGTGTACATCAGGGATGATCCTGGAAAGCCACTGTTCTGCTTTAACCCTAATCAAACACACCTCAACAGCTTTTTTTTTTTTTTTTTGAGATTCACCAATATAATAGTACTGAATTGCTATATATTTGTACATACCATGGTACTTTAAAGTACTTAAAAAAAAAAAGTGTAGTTGTGTCTGCTGAGCTGCGTTTGTAAGCCTGGTGTCCACCAGAAGAGTGGGATGAGGCCCAGCCACAGTGCTGGAATGTAGTAGGAGTCTTAAACAGAAAAAAGTCTGATGGAAAAGCAAGGTAAAATGAGATCCAGTCGGCTTTAATTAAAAGTCGATGAACGTTGAATTGAAAATAACTTGAGAATGCAGTTAAATTGGAAAGGCAGCAAATAGCAAAACACTTAAGTTCAGACAGGAAGAACAACAAACGGCGGGTATGATCAAATATCCATCACTATGGCATTTATTTGAGTGTAGGTTCTCGGCAACTATCCCAAAAACCGTGTGAGATGTTTGTTGCACAGCTAACCAAGAACTCTTCGTAGCCAGCGCCATCATTTCTGGTTATACGAAGGCTAAAATGATCTTTTTAAATGTTTAGCTTTTCCATATCTTATATATAAACTGAGCTTCTGTCGTAGATAAACTGTGCACTGATGTTTAATACACTAACAGGATGTTAGCGTTAATATGCTAGCGTGCATGATTGAGCTATGAACCAGACAGACATCTGGATTTCATTGAGCGATACGGCTATAATGTCTCTCGTGGGTATCTAGTCTGCTGTGCGAAGAGTTAAACCTGTTTGACAGCGAACTACTGACTGTCAATAGACAATAATTGAGGCGTATCATTATTGAAGTATTGATTTATTAGTATTGACAAAAAATCATTTTAAATTAATATTATTGAGTACAATCTCAGCTTGTTTATATGTTTGTTTGAGATGTTTCAGCTCTCATTCAAGTGCCTCAGTTGAGTATGGATGAAGGGAACTCTCCAAGGAATACACACCACAAGATCATAAGAGCTGTCAATCACAGAGGAGCCTCCCTAATGGTGTAAATTACGACTGATGTACGACTTGGGTCGCAGCTACTCGGAAAACATGCAGCACTGTTAGTAGTTGAACATCTAAACATCTTGAATGGTTAAATAAGTCCAGATGCTCCTGAGTAAATTCTACATGATGACACAGGGATTTTTGTGTTCGTTTAATTATGGTTATGTGATGTTCATTGACCTGTTCTCTAAATTAAGAGCTATGTGAAGATTCTCCAAAAACTCCACAAAAAGCAAAAGCATATGGATTTGGAATGACATATGGCTACTAGAGGTCGACTGAACGTGAATTTTACTGATAACGATAACTAGGTTGGACCACGCTGTCCGATAACCGATTAATCAACCGATAGTTCGTAAAATGGATAATGAATAAAAACAAACATAACACAGTGCTGAACTTTAATACAAAAATTGACAGAAAAAAAAACAGTACTGTACCATAAAAATAAACAGTACTTTACTTTTTAAATATAAAAATATTACTATATTAATTATACCTTGATGATTCATGTTAATTCACAGTGCATTAACTAATGTTAAGAGATACAACTTTAAAATGTAAAAATGTATTAGTAAATAATATTGAATTTAACAATGAACAATACTTGTATTAAAGGGGTCATATAATGGTACATGGACTTTTTCAAGTTGATTGTACTGCAATTGTGTGTTGGCAGTGCCTGTACACAACCATCATTTAATGATAAAAATCCATCCAGTGGTTTTGTTTTAATCTCCTTATATGTATTCCCCTGTCTCAAATCGAGCCGTTTCACCGTGTGACGTCACACGGTCGGACGCCCCTCCCACGATTGTTGATTGACAGCACTTTCAACACATCCCCGCCCTGAGCGAGCTCTCATCATAGTCCGCCATTGTTGATACACTGGAGCAGAATGGCGTCTAAGCGATTGTGGTGTTCTGCTCTTGGGTGCAAGAACAAACACAGAAATCATTTTGATGTTCCTAAATTTGAACCGCTGAAGACGCAGTGGCTGAGTTTTACGATGGGAATATTCCCCACGATCAACGTCAATGCTTTCATGTTTGCGCGAATAATTTATCGTAGACTTCTTTATAAACGAGGGTCAGTATAAAGCTGGTTTTGCTAAGAAGCTGCTCCTGAAAAAAAAAATCGGTACCAACTATTTATGTTCCCTCTGCACCTCCAGAAGAAGGGAGTGTAAAGTTGTATTAACCTTTATATTAATCTTTGCAAATCGTGGGAACAAGTTTTTCATGACCATTAGCTGTAACGTCAATCTGTCAATGAACTAACGTATACATCAGTAAACACATAGCGTTCGTATCTCACTACTCTACCCTGCCAGTGCATACACAGATAGATCAAAGTGACATTACGTTAATCAACCATTCAGAAACGTCCTGTTCGAGCCTTAATTGTCGAACTTCTTTGCGGCCGTCATCTTGTTCCGGGTGCGACTCCGGTTCAAACTGATACGATTGCACAGATGTGTCCTCAAGAGACTCCAAGAGACTGCCATTCTTTCTCCAAAATATACCCTCAACTGTTGTCAAGGCAACACTTCACGTGCACTGTGTCTAAACGCCCGCAGAATAGAGGGGCGGGGTTTATTATTTAAAGGCATATGCACTGAAACGGCGTGCTGAAAACAGCTGATTTTGACCAGGTAAAATGAGTGTTTTCTTAAAATACTAATGAGAATTTTTAATACAAGTATATTACAAAGTTTTCATTTAGACCCTAAACATTCATATTAACTTGTACAAAAATGGCATTATATGACCCCTTTAACTTTGGTTAATGTTGCAAATGGAATCTCATTGTAAACTGTTACCATTTCATATAAATCCAAACAGTCATGCTAAAAGATGGCCATCTTTAAATATCTACACAAAGGCCACAGCATTGAAATGAAAGAGTTGTCCCGCTCTGTGCAGCCTCACGTGTCAAAACAAACTCCACGAGGATCGGTGATAGTTTTGATTTCGCCTCTAAAGGTGTGTATAGAGGTGATATATCTCATACTGTATAACCCTACGCAACCCGGAAAAACTATCGTTATGTTTTTGTATATATCGTTATGTTATGTTTAACATATGTTATACTATCGTTATGTTTTTGGATTGCTGGAACAATCGGTAATCGGTGCCGATTAATCGTCAAAACCGATCAATCGGTGAACCTCTAATGGACACATAAATAATGATAAACCTTCATTTTTGGGTGTACTGTTCCTTTAAGAAACGAGAGTAGCACAATTTGCCCATACTGCCATAGATTGCTGCTTACAAAGAAACTATAGAAACATTCTTGTCCTACATCAGCATTGAAGGGACGGCACTAACCTTGAGTGCCTGTATGACAAAGTCTCTGGCCTCCAGCTCTCCCTCAAGAACACTGAAGAGCAGCAGAACGTCTCTCTTACTCAGAGCCTCCACGTTTAGCCTCGCCTCCTGAAAAGAGAACAAAACACGGAGCAAATGAGTGTTAGAAAAAATACGAAATGATACTCAAATGTATTCAGGGATTCTAATGACGGTTTTCAACAAACGGTAGTTTAGAATAAATTGTTTGGAAAAACATGCAGTCAGGCAAAAATATCCAAGTCTACAAATCCTCTCCTTTATTTCCCATCTGCAGACCAAATGACTGCAGTCTGCTATAATATTGATGTGCTTGTCTTGATTATGCAGTGTGCTGCGTATTCAACGCACATTATAATGAAATAAACAAGACAAACCCACAGTAAACAAGTGCACTAAATCATTTTTCTTTTTGTTTTCAGTATGAATGCAGCATGCATATGTTTACAGTTACCGGTGTCATTAAATATCAACTTGCATGCATATTTGTCACTCACACACTAGTGTTTAAAAGTTTGAGGTCTGAAAGAAGTTTCTTATGCTCACAAAGGTGGCATTTATTTGATCAAAAATACAATAAAAACAGTAACATTGTGAAATACTATTACAATTTAAAATAAGTGTTTTCTATTTGAAAGCTGAATTTTCAGCATCATTCCTCCCGTCTTCAGTGTCACATGATCCTTCAGAAATCATTCTAATATGCTAAATTAGTGCTCAAGAAACATTTATTATATTATTATTGATGTTCTAGATTAATATAATCTTTTAATAGAGCATTTAAATATAGATATATATTTGTAACCTTTTAAATGTCTTTTATTGTCACTTTTGAGCAACTGAATGCATCCATGCTGAATAAAATTGTTAATGTCTTTAAATAGGGTTTAGTGAAAAACAAACTGAAATTGAATGTATAATTTAACAAAGTTGTGAGAAATCAAGATTAACAAAAAAACGTGACATGAAACACAACCCATGTGCCTTCTTCTCTGAGATAAATATATCTGTTGTGTTCATATCTGTCAACTGAGTTCCGGACCGGTGATATTTGACTTTTTTGGGATTTCTAGGCGTTGTATTTCAGTGTTTTTGTTTATCTTCATTTCTCACAACTTGTGTGTATTTTCTAGGCAAGACGGAGTGAACTGCGGTGCTAATAGAGTCTCACAAACGCGCGCATCATGTAGTTGTGTAAAGAAGACCAATGGCCATGGTCAAGTAAATACATTAAATTACATTTTTTTGGGGCAAATTTTCACTAAACCCTATCGTATACCCCCAGAACACTTGGAATATACAGCATGTGTCGCATGTGATCAGTCTGTGATACTTTTTTTTTTTTTTAAGCTTGATGTTGGTCGTTATTTATTATATGGATGAGTGCGAGTGGGACATTTTTTTATTTTTTTATTATCCTTTTGTGGTCCATAAAAGAAAGAAGAGCATACGGCATTAGAACAACACCAGTGTGAGTAAATTATGACTTAAATTTCATTTCAGGGTGAACTATCCCTTTAACAGGCTTTCCCGAGGACATAATGGCTATAGATCAGAGCTGTGATCTCAGGAAAAACTCCCATTCCCATGTTGTGTTTCTTTCTGTGCAGTTCACAGAAAAAAGAAAAAAGCAGGTCATTTTTTCCATTTTATTCTTATGAGTCAAAGCATCTTTCATAATATATCAAAGCTAAAGCAGCATTCCCGCATGACTTTTCTATTGATAGACAGCTAGTGAAAGAGACGTGTTGTTGGTAGGGTAAGATTGGCTGAAATTCCTTCCCGAGCCCTCATTTCTAAATACTCAGTAATTGCGCCTGGACAATCTTGAAAGCATCGAATTTCACTTTCCCATATAGCTTTGCGCACCATAAATGCTTTGACCCCGCGCTGCAAGCCTCAGCTGAAATAATCTAATGAAACTGAATCTAGATTTCTTCACTCTGACCCCACTTTGCTTTTAATGGTGCTTCATGTTGAGATTTGTGTGGTTAGCCAAAGTTTCCACATCATGAAGTCACGATCCAGGAGTCTCTGAGTGTTACATAATATGCCCGAGGACGGAAGACGTCCAGCTACTGTGCTCCAGCTGAAACTTGGAAGCTTGACTTCCACGTCAGAGCTCCCAGAGAAATCGCATTACTGTACTTTGCAGTGCATTCAGATTCTCCCTTTCATCTGTGTTGTGCAACCTTTAGTCAAAGTTGTCCTTGTAAATAGCAGTCAGGTTCCTTTTGGTGTATTGTGCACCGATGGGAACGGCACACTAGATCTGAGGTCACGAGTATGCAAGAAAGCTTTCATGGTTTGCGGTTTACCCATTCAAACAGCGCTAATTTGAAGCGTTTCAACGCAAAGCCATACTTTATATACACGCTAATTTCACAACTTCACTTTGCCTTTTATAAAACCAAAGGAAAATTATATGATGCATTGAACTAAACAGTCATAGATCAAGTGTGAAAAATACTTGTAGACTTCTTAACTAGTCTCACTTGCTTTTTTAGCCAATGTCTCTTTACTTAAACTTGTGATTCAGCATGAATCATTATGTGTGGACACGAGGAAAAGTTGATAAAAAGACATTCTCAGAGATTTGTATGCATCTACAGAACCTTTCTTTTATGTGCACTTGGGGATTATCCGATAGTGTTCTTCATGGTTGAGTAATTTGGCATTTCCTCTTTAATGGTGCCCATGCCTCTCTGAATTAAAGGGTGCTACAGCATTCAACATCGGCCCAAATGCTTCTTAAATTACCCAGCATTTTTCCCCTGGAGCTAGACTGAAGCAGTCAGTGTTTGAGTCCAAGCTCACCCGACATGTCAGAGGGTAATTAATTTAATCCTCAAGCTGCTTGTGAGCTACAAAACAGATGGCCCAATGTCAACTGTTGATGTGGTCAGCTGTACAGACTGCATAAAGTCTAATATTTTTTACTATTAAAACATTTAAATAGTTCACAATATTACTGTACAAATAGGATTTCGAAAATTTACAATGAAAAAAATCAATGATAGTATTTTGAGCATATTGAACATTTATTGTATTTATTCAAATATATTGTTTTATTTTATACTATGCTGTAAAACATTTCAAAGTTCGGTAAAACGCTTTAGTTTGGGGTCCAATTCTCACGGTTAATTAGTTGCTTATTAGCATTCAAATTACTAGGATATTGGCTGTTTATTCGTACTTATAAAGCACATATTATTGCCTTATTCTGGATGACCATATTCTACTTCACTTAATCCTATTCCTGAACTTAACAACTACTTTACTAACTATTAATAAGCAGTAATTAGGAGTTTATTGAGGCAAAAGTCGTAGTTGTTAGTCAGTTAGGCTAGTTCCCGGTAGTTAATAGTGAGAATTGGACCCTAAACTAAAGTGTGACCCAAAGATTCGACATTCTTTGGCGTTATTATGCCTCCAAACCCAGTGTAACGTTACTGCCTATCTAGAATGCAGTTTAGGGCACCAGCATTTCTGATGCCCAAAAATAATGCACGCGCCTATTGATAGACAAAAATGCTGCCTAGGTAGACAGTTCACTCCGTTTTGAGACACCGCCTTTTACATGCAGATCTGACAAGCAAAAATCAGTAACGAAAAAAAAAAAAAATCAGTTTACTGTTTACTTTAAAAACCGATGTTTCGACTATTTGAACAATTTTTTTACTTTTCATGTACAGCTGCTCATATAACAAACTCCAAACTACTTTTGCGTTTTTAAACAGTTGCTGTCAGAACTGTCGGCTATTTGAAACTGTAATCAGCATTAACTATTCATACAATCTGTATCCTGTCTTTGCAAAAATTCTTTCTCTTCCTCTCGTGCTCATTTTATTCGACTTACTTTCTTTCTTTATAAATATTAAGTCATATGTTATAAAGAGGACATTCTCACCGTTGTGGGTGCCATGCCAGGTTTGATCAGCTTCCAATATCGCTCATCGAGCAGCACCGTTGTTGAAGATCGGCTTCACCGAAGAAGTTCATCTGCTGTGAAAGAACGCAAACGGACATCTTAAACAGCCAATCAGATCGAAGTGTTTAGGCACAAAGGGCCAATGAGAAACGAGACGTAGAGACAGGAGGCGGGATTTAACGTGGAAAGTTTATAAGATGGGATTCTTTGTGCGGCGATGAGAGCTCAAAGTAATCTTCGGTCCTCAACTCACACCATGACTTTAATCATGACATATTTGGAACGGTTTCTGTGAAAAAATAAAGTTTTTGTAGTATCAGGGTCGAGTTAGGCGACCACTCTAAAAGTCATTTTAAATGTTGAAAAAAATGTAGACGGGATAGTTTGACGGAATACATGTGTGCCACCTAGTGGTGTTTTATTGTAGTTCTAAAGCACACAATCAGAGTAGCCCCCAAAAATCATTTTGACACTCATATAAGTTTAAAATGGGATAAATATCATTAAGAAAATATTAAACTGCATGGCATTTTATTCACAGACAAGGCTTAAGCCTATAGTCCCAGACTAAAATGTATGTTTGAGCTGATAGCAAGTTAAACTAACATATCTTAAAATGTCAGTGCCATTGTTTTGTCTCAAGATGCACATGTAGATTTGTTCTAAGGCATGTTTATAAAAGCTACTTAAATTTTTTGTTTGTGAAACCAGGCCTATATGTTTTAGATGTGTCTTAGTTGGGTAATTTGTTATCTAATCAATGTGATGAAAAATTGAGTGCGGAATAAATGAATGAATAAAGCTGTGCAAGCAGTTGAGGTGAAAAACAAGAAATTAAACAAGTTTCTTCCTTAAAAATGTTATATTACAAATTTCATTCATCTGATAAATACAGGCATTTCACAAAGCATTGTACTAAAAAAAAAACACAACCCATCATCACAATCATTTCTAGCAACATACAATAACAAATTTGGGCACAGTTAAAACCAAACATAGTGTCATTCCCAATATCCAAGACAAATACAATTTAATGTGCATCTCAAAACCAGAGTGTACAGACACACATTGAATAAGGCGCTGTTAACAGGATTTGTTCAAACTGGATCCCTTCCTTTAGGTTGTATCGGTTTTTAGGTTCAACGTTGAATATTCTGTTACTGTGCTTCTGTTATTCAAGTCTTCTCAAAGTAAAGGTGAAAGTGAAATAGCACCAGTTTGTTGTGATTCAACTCTGTTACAAATACTCACACACAAAGGTAAGAATAATTTACTTAAACATATTTATACTGTACAAAAGCATCTGGCATGTACAATAAGACAAAATCATACCTGAAAACAACAAATGTACATTCCAGAGATATCTGGGCCAAAATGTGGGATTGTGAAACCACACGATAGGTTTAGTTCTGTTTGGACTGCAGTGTTGTTATACGTACATTATCCAAAGATTTTTTTCTGATCACCGGCACAACTAGTTAAGCCGAGTGATCTGCGAGTCCCAGTCAGAATTGAATTCCAAATCACTGATTCATAATGCCTTTCATTTGGTATAAGTCACTATTTGTGCGGATCTTCATAGGTAGTCGGGTCATTTTCTGTTCCAGCTGAATTTACTTCAGTTCTTCTCTTGAGGAGGTGCAGGTTTGGGCTTCGCCCAATTTTTGTAAATAAAGTTTTTAGTTATTAATTATTTGTTTAAAAAAATGTTGTAGTGCAGTTTGGGGTGCTGTAGTCACTAGGTCAAGTTTAAGTGACATCTGATGACACATACTCATACACTTACTGCCTTTTTAAGGCTAGGAATCTTTCAGCATGTTTATGCGAGCGAAGATCTTGAGGGCGGGTCCTAATTTAATATTCATGGCACTCATTAGGTGGTCTTCTTTCAGTAGCAGCATGGCCTGTCCATCAATCTCCTGAGAACGAAACTCATCCGCAATCTCCCGGCAACCTAATTGTGGAGTCACAAAAAATTGCATCATTAAATAGCATTTTTGTAAATAAATATATTGCTGTAGACATTTCAACTTTCAACATAGCTTTGCTTTTATCAACTTTACCATCATTATATAATATTTGATGGCAAAATATCATATCAAATGTGTGTGCATATATGCATTTATACGATACTGTTATTAAGTTTAGGGTCTGTAAGATTTTGTAATGTTTAAAAAAAAAAAGTCTTTCATGCATTTTATGCTGATTTTATTTGTTAAAAACAACATTGTTATGAAATATTACAATTTTAAATATATCTGTTTTCTATTTTAATATATTTTAAAATGTAATTTATTCCTGTGACGGCAAAGCTGAATTTTCAACAGCCAGTCTTCAGTGTCACATAGTCCTTCAGAAATCATTCTTATATGATGATTTGGTGCTCATGAATCATTTCATATTATTATCAATGTTGAAAACAGTTGTGCTGCTTAATATTTTTTTGGACATTTTATTTTTTCAGGATTCTTAGTTGGACAGAAAGTTCAAAAGAACAGCATTTGTTTGAAACTGTATTTTTTTTTTTTTTTTTAACAATGTAAAAGTCTTTACTGTCACTTTTGATAGCCCGGGACACACCAAGCCAGCGTCAAAGAACTAGCAGCGTCGACTGTGTTGTCGCCTCTCGTCGGCTACGTCTCGACCAAAAAGCAGCGCATGAACACACCAAAAGGACTAAATGTGGCTGTCAACTAGCAAATATCCATCTCTATCAGCAGGTATCAAGCAGGTATCTATTTTCGTCATTAAAAAGGCAAACTGAGACTAGGGCTGTGTCCGAAATCGCCCCCTATACCCTTAAATAGGGCACTATTTCAGGGGACAGCCATGCAGTGGTGTCCGAAACCATAGTGGACGTTATTGAGTGCACTCATTCAATCCTACAATGCACCGCAGTAACAAGTGTACAACCAATGTACGCTCAATGGCTAGATAAAACCCATAATGCACTGTGAGAGTCGCACGGCGAATGAATTCCAGAATCTTCGCTTATATTCTGATGCACTGACTCGTTTGCTAAGCTGAACAGCCAATCAGAGTTCTCTCTCTCACCAACGGCCTAACGGCGATTCAACATGCTGAATCGGCCCCAAAAAAAGGACAGTGTCCTACAACAGCCACCGGTGCAGAACACACCGAAAAAACGAAGCTGACCGATGCTCAAAAACGGCCCGCAGTTGCTCGACGGCTGACCGTTGGCTTGGTGTGTCCCGGCCTTAATGCATTCTTGCTGAATAAACGTATTAATTACCTTTTTTTATTGTACCAACCCCAAACATTTAAACTGTGTGTGTGTGTGTGTATACATATGATGAAAAGCCACATACCTGGCAAAGAGCGGATGAACTCAAACACCTCTTGCACATTCCATTTGGTGGGGTCGCATGGTAGGAAGTGCTGACTGAGGAGAGGAAGCTCTTCTGGATCATTACCAGAGACCCCACCCTGCGAAACGATTGGGCCAGAACTGGCTGCAGAGAGCGGGGAAGCTGCTTCCTCATAACTGGAGATATCCGAACAGGGGCTGGACTCTCCTTGACTGGGCTGAGATTGGAGGGGTGAGGATATAGATTCTCCCTGAGATTGCTGAGATACAGAGAGCCGCTGGAGGAATCAAGAATAAAACAAGAGATGATATGCATGCACTAAAATGAGGTAATAACAAAGATAGGATGATTTACTTTTATATATTATTAATACAAAAACATTGTGACAGGCACAACTGGATTATAGTAGCTGTTCACCTGCTTTTTTGCCTCCCTGCCTCTGGGACCATGAGACCTTCTCCTTCTCCACTGATTTATCTGATTGGTTGTTTTAGTTCTGTCGGGGTGGAACAGACCAACCCTCTTCGTGCAACTAACACTGTACCTGATCGAGAGTGTTGCATGTTAGCATACAGATAAAACTACTGCACATCACAACAATATATTATTAGTTCTCATTTTGGGAGCAGCTATATCTCATAAGTTCCTAAATGAACCCATACAGCTTTAAGCATGCATTTCTAGATATTTTCACTAAAACATTTTTAAAAATGTTTTGAATCTCTAACCTTTTAGCACAGACCATGGAACAGAAGCGTTTTGAACGTTTGAACTTGTAGGCAAAATCAACCCATCCACAGAGCTCACATGTGAGCTTGGGCTCCTCTGATTCCTCCTGAATTCTTGTGTCTGATGAAAAATGATAAAGTATTAATCTACAGTTTATTTATGAGTAGCTGAAACAATTTTTCCTTGTAATCTTTAGATGGTGCAAAGCTTATATTGTTGCCGCACCTTTATTGCACAGTTTCAATCGTAAAGTTCACAAACAGGAAATTCCAATCATCTTTCATCACTAATGCATAATGACGCTCTTTTGTTCATAACAGTGCATGTTTTCAATCTTTCAAAACTTTACCCTGTCACTTAAAAAGATCAAGCATCTTAGAAAAATAGCCGTGGGCTGCAGGATGTTTGAATCTACTAAGTGAAATGTGTACCTTGTTGTCCAGCCTCCTCAATGTCTGAGTTGGTGGCACTGAGGGAATTGCTGCTGGCTGTTTTCTCTGGATCTGAGGGAAGCTGTGTGTCTGGTTTCTTGGGGCTGTCGGCCTGCACCGGAGGTCTCTCCACCTGACAATACAGTATTCAAAAGTGGCGATGTCATGGCGATTACTGTAACTGTGGCCACCTTAAACTGACAATATTGTTTCTACAGTTTAGTTTGGTGTTGTAAACACCAGGGCGATTCACTAACATGCAAAGAAATACATGTTGCTGAAAATAAATAAGTAATTATTTAATAATAAGTGATGAATGAATAATGAATGATGTACGAATTAATAATACTGCATGAATAATAATAATACAATTCTTAATAAAAATTATTATTATTATTTTTATTACAACTCACAGGGAATGGTTCAGCTCCCTCCTGGATAACAAATCCCTCTATGACATGCGTGAGGACGTGTGGCTTCACTATGGCTTGAGGTGGCTTGTTCTCGCCGTTTTGTACCACACTTCCTGTCACAGCTGCCGGAGGGGGCTCGTTTGAGGCTGCCGAGGTCATGGTTGATGTCACCGGTGATCCCGTGGGGTCCCGGGCCGTCTCCACAGAGCCTGGCGGCAAAGAAACAAAGCATCAACTCATCACCATAGCAACCACAACAACATCAGCAGCACAGATATCAGCGGCCGCCAGTGTTGGAAAGCCCGGAAAAGACAGCTGCCAGAAATAAAATATAAAGAGTGAGCTTATAAAATAACTTACAAACGTTTAAGGAACAGTTAACCCAAACATTGATGGAAAATAATATATCTTAAACCTGTCTAAGCTGGTTTAAGATGTTTATGATGTTTGTTTTATGCGTTTTATTTCTTCTATGAAACACAAAGGTAGATCTTCAGTATCATATTCATAAAAAGCGACTATATGAATATTTTAATGAAGATATCCCTACCAGTCAAGTGAAAAAAAAATTAAGAAAAAAAAAAGTCAAGTGACGAGAGACAATGGCGTTTGACGTCAAAGACGTCCAACTAGAGCAGCACCATGGTGGTGAGTGACTTATCAGGTCCTCCCATAGACAGTAAAAGAAAGGGTCCTCCTCGAAATTGGGTCTCCATTAGGACCCCAAGCGAATCCATTGGCTCAAATTACTTTTAATGGGTACTCTCTTTAGCACCTCATTACAATTCCTACAAAATTATGCCAGTATAAATTATAATGACCATTAATGTCTGTGTTAGTTAGCCTATATGTACTAGCATAGCATACAGATACCCAAATTATCCTGATAGCTTAGTTTATACACTTATTTGCACTTGCCCTACATGACAATCATCTTTAATGTAATTATGTTTTAAATTACGTTAAATGTCCAAATATTTTAGTTATAAAAATAATATAACGATGTTTAATTGCTCACTTAATAGATTGTTATTATGCTAATTAACAGTTAATCAAGTGAAATAAGCTTTTATTTTGTTTTATTATGCACTATATAGTAACCTATACATATTTTACATTTATATCGTTCGTAACTGATAGTTGATGGAGACCCGATTTCGAGGGAGGACCTGATTTGTCATAACAAGCGCCATTTTTTATTTGAACGCAACTTCCTGCCAACGGTTTTTGAGCAGGGAAGAGTATCAGTCAATAACGACTGCAATTTCATTCTGTTCCTCTCACAAAGCAATCCGATAACTTCAAAATACTTTAAATAGTAAAGTATTAACTACTTTTACGAAGTTTTTAATGTTATCCACTATCAAGCTGCCAAATGACCACTGCTGTAGACCACCTCTACAGTTTACTGAAGAAAGGAAATAACGCTGGAACGTCATGAAAAGGGTAAGTAAATTATTAGATTTTTGTGTGAACTATTACTTGAAAAAACATCCCACACACCGACCGTTACTAAAATAAAGAACTAAAATACATCTCTCCTGTTCACACAAGACGCGTCACTGCGTTCAGTCTGCGCTGTATGGTTCCTGTACGCACCAGACTGGCGTCAGTTGCGTCGCGTTTAAAGAGAGCGTGTCAAGTCTACACAGACCGCAGCGCTTTTTTAAAGCCCACTAACCAAAACTACTGGCATCACAACACAAGACAAACTGTAGCTTACCGACAAAGAGCAATAAGAAGTCATTTCCCGCAGGGGCGCTCTTCAATTCCGTCTCTAAACACGGGGGGAGCCTCATTCCCACACGCCTGTTACACTGATATCAAAGACAGAATATCAGGCTCCGCCACGCGTGCGATTCTACTACGCAACATGCAGTGTGCGCTGCTCCTTTTCAATGCTCCACTCCCACGCACGAGCACTGCACATTCTGCCAGGAGGCGGTTCAGTCTTTCCCTGGATGGCAGCAGCCTCAAGTGGCAGGTCACATGACTCCGTAGAGGTTCAAGAGTTTCACTGGCTGTTGGCAGCTTTATTCAGCCCATGGGCATTATCTGAAGCTAGGAAAGCACCCTGGTCTAAAACCAGTTTCTGACTGATTCGGCAGCAAGGCTACTAGTTGTGCCTTCTGGCGGTCAAGGAAGTCTACAGAGTCATGTGACTCAGTTCTTCTTCATATTACTGTACATGGGAATTGCATGGCACCCTCTTCTCTTTTAGCAAATCTGGTTCACCATGTGGGAGTCGAAAGCCTTGTATTTTAAATGCAGCAGTTATTCTTTAAAACAAAGTTGATGTATGTGCATAATATGTAACTGGATTTTGACAGGTGTGACGTAGATAAATACAATATATTAGGGCTGGCCCGGTATCCATTCAGATGTCCCAATTTGATTCGATTCCGATTTGCAAGATTTTGATTCGATTCTCGATTTGATTCAATTAATAATTTTCACTGGTCTCACCACAAAAAAAATGATGAATAAAATAGTTATTGTTTTTGACCCATGTATTCTTGTATTGTAATAAATAAGGTTGACACCAAAATTTTAGAAACCTGTGAAATTTCACAATTCTCCACTCCAATTTCAATACCACAGCTAAAACTACTAATTAATATCAATTTAAAACATTTAAAGACAAATAAACAGTCATTAATAAAAGAAAATAACTAATTATTGTACAAGCGATCGCACAAATAAATAAATACAACAGAACAAACAAATGAAATAGTGCTTTTCAGGTTTTTCCAGGTTGGTCTTTAACAGTAGTTTTCAGGTACAGAAATTGAATAAAGTAATCAAATGTAAAATAACACTGCATAGTCCGTAATAATTAAAATATAGATTAATCATTATTAAAGTTACAAAGGTTATTCAGTCAAGAGCAGTGATTGATTTTCTCTTTTTCTTTTGTTCTGTGATTAAAGCTGCTGTCCGTAACTTTTTTGGGTTAAAAATTATCCAAAATAATAATAATTAAAAAAAACATAACCAGCCAGTGTTAAAAAAGATCTGCTTGCTTTTGCCCGATTCAAAATGGTAAGCTTGTAATAATGATTTTAATTCCAGTGGTACTGGTGGATTTCCGCGGGAAATTCGAGCATGTCTTTGCGTCATTACGTCACATCTGTACACATAAAGAAGGCGTCCCGGCTAGTCGGCTATATTGCGTGAGGATGTTGGAGGTGGACATTTTTAGCCTTTTCTCACAGCATTAAATAATTAAACTAATGGCGGATCCAGAAAGGTTCAAACGACAATCACCAGTGACAACTGGACATTCACCACTTGTAAAACCCCAAATAATTCGGACTTCGGAGTGGGTAGAGAAAAAAGAGACTGCAACTGGCCCACGCGAAAACAAGGATAAACATCGGTTCAAAACGGACGCAGAGACGGCTTTTTTTCTTTTAGCTATTATGGTAAATATTTTGTGCTAGCTATGAGAGGGAGCAATTCACCTCTACTCCAAGCAAACCAAACCGGCCTCCTCCGAAATTATAGCCTATATAGTTTTAATTATGCATCGGATTACAGATACGTGTTTTTTTTTTCTTTTCTTTTTTCTCAAAGAAAACCAGTAAAGAAACATTAATTTATTGGTATGACAATTAGAAATTAGACTGCACAGAAATAGAAACTGAACTACAGGGTAATCATAATACACATTAAATGTAGTCACAATGCTGATGTTGATAATTTGAGAACAAAGTATAATTTGAAAGGTTTGACGCGATCGTTATATTTAATCAGCACGATTTACTGCAAGGCTTTCCCCCCTTAGTTGATGTGGATGTTACTTACTTGTTCAGATGACATTATCCGATGAAAATTCGTATGTTGTCATGGTCATACTGTAGGCCTACTTCCAAAAGTAGAATGTGTGATTCTGAATGCCAGTTTCCACATCGGCGCGGTGACTGACAGACTCGCAGTCTCAAAACATTGTGTTCATCTGTTTCGTGCCGATGTGCAACTCACGCAAAGTTAATAATTCCGCGAATAACTGCAATTACAGATTTCAAACAGAGATGGCGACAAAGAGGAAAAATGCCGGACTGCAGCTTTAACATTAAACACAGACAGCAGCAGGTTTATTAGTCACTTTAAGGCAGAATGCACGGATCCAATATACTGTTGTATACAATATAATGTACGCATGCATTGTCTTTCTCTGCTGTTTACATTCACTTTAGCCATAACTGACTATGCTTACTAGGATACTAGCCAAGACATTTTGAGATTATTTTTGTGTAAGACAGACGCGTGAAAGAGAAGTAATTTTATTATTTGCACGCTGTCTGAGATGCGCAGCATTCTGTGCACACACAAAATTTCTCACACATGCTTGAATGTTTAAATTGGCAAGGCTTAAAAACGTGCGCAAATGATAATCTTCAGTGACCATGCAGCACTGGCCTGATCGGATCCTTCAGCTGTCTGGAATGTCTTTCACACTGAAATTTGCACTGTATCCGCTATGTTAAAGGGCATATTGCAGGTTAGAGGACCCAACGAGTCAATATATAGAAAAATAATGTTCTTTAAAATATACTTATAAATACGCTACATAAGCTTCTGGAGTCGTGTTTGTGAGAATTTTACTTCCGCATCTGAAAATGGGCGTGGCGTACCGGGCGAGAGAGCGGTCGATTCAAACAACAGGAAAACAATGGATCGCAATGACATTTCGGACGCTGAGGAAATACTTACTCGTATGACGGACCACAGCCATACAGTTATGAGCCTGCTTTGCTGCCAAGAGAGCAGGACAGGCCAGGATTATTGTTAGACAGAACGGTCAGAGACAAATTGAGTTGTGGAGTGAGGAGAACCAGTGGAGAACAGGACAGGTGTCTTGGTAAGAGAGACTAGTGTTAGCTTATAGATATATACACGTTCGCTAACGATATACACTGTGCTCACAATATTGTACAGATTATTACCATCGTATATCAGGCCAGCAGACATGAGTATGTTTAGGGTATAGGCCTACTATAAAATGTAAAAAAAAACTATACTTGAGTATATTTGTATTGTACTGAAAACATACTCAAGTACATTTTAATTACAAGTTAAGTTGCCTCTATTTAGGGCATGACTACCTATATCACACTATTTGATGCCATTGGTACAGTATAAGACGATCAATATTCTTGCTTCGGCATCCCATGTTGAACTCCATCATATCGCCGGGATGATAATCCTGCGATTTGAAGTGAACGCTACACACAACCGTGTTTTTTGAAGGCGATGCGGAAGAGAAATCCCGTCTCTTCACCTGCACAAACCGCACCAGGCACGAAAGATAGCACCGTCCTTTTTCTTGTTATGGAAATCTGTGGACTCGATGTCCTGACAGGCTTTTTGCAACCTCCACAAACACAATAATTTACCATGACGATGATAAATTGAAATACAAAAACTACCGAAAACACTGACTGACGACCGTCCTTACTGAATACCAGCCTACTCTGCACTGAGCTGAGGCTCCCTGTCGTGACGTAAAATGACGCGATGTTGAAAAAAAAAAAGCCGTTTTTACGAGCAGTCAAAGAAACGCTCACTTTATCTACTAAATTAGTGCCCTTATGTCATTTTAAAACATTTTAAATCCTGCATTAACTTTTCATATGGTATTTTCATACAAGGTTATATATTAATTGAGTTTTTTTTTACCTGCAATATGCTCTTTAAGCAGCACTGAATCAATGACGGTCCCCGCTTTAACATTGTGCAAGGTAAATAATAGGATGACATTCAGTGGAGAAGACTAGTAAAAAGATTAACGTCAAACAGATATTATGTTCACTGTTTGTGGAAATAAATGCGGAAAAAAAGATCGGTTTGTGGCTTTTGAAAATGAATATTGAATCGACAAAAAATCGATTAATGGAAAACTTTTTTTCCTAGCCCTATATATATATATATTATAAGCCTATATAATAGAAGAATAATATTATTATTATTACTTTTTATTTTTATTAGGCTATATCTTTTTTTATATATTAATAATTCATATTAATAACAATTCATATAAAGTTTAAAAAAACTTATTGTTATAAAAAGATGGTTATTGTTTTCATGAATGATCATTATGGTCACTTTCAAGTATTTGGGGACTTGCGCCCTAGTAATCATCATTATCTCTGTAGTGATCTCTTAAATGTGTCTTTTGTTGATACATTGTACTTTGATTATCAAGCAAACTATATTTGTACATTTTCAAATTTCGACTCTTTTTGGCCACTGTACCTTGTGTTTGAGATGTAGCGTTAACAGTGTCAGCTTTGGGTTGTTCCAGGAGGTCGGTGCCTTGGGTCGTAGTGGATGGTTGCATTTGTACTGGTGGGCAGATCTCTCTTACCACCAAAGAAGTGGGCTTCTCCTTGTCATCCTGAGCCAGTCTTGAAGCCTAAATAGGATAAAAGTAGTTAGTTGCTTTAGAAATGTATACAATACATTATCTTTAATCTACAAAATGGCTCTAGTAAGGGAGTCCCTTACCTGGCTTTGTGCAGGTTGGATTTGGAGATTGATGGCTGTCAGTTGGACCGGTTGAGCTTTAGCATGGGCCAGGCCAATGTGTGAGCCGTGCTGGCTAACTGCATGGTGGCTTATAGTCGAATGGAAGATGGTGGCGTGTTGACATTGAGCGGATCCCTGGTTGTGAAGTACTGGTCTGGGCAAAACCGGAATGATCCCTGTTACAGATGAGGTCTGGGCGGAGCACTGTTGGTGGGGCTGGACGGAGGCGGTCTGCAGTAACTGAGGCTGGGCTCTAGAGGTGGCTGGGGCTTGGGGTTGAATGACGAACTGTTGCGGTTGCTGCTTAATCAGGGCCTGCGGCTGGATTTGGGCATAAGCTGGAAGGACAAACACTTAGCCTATTACATACACGTACTGTTTCACATGACTACACATTAAACTGACAGTTGCAATATAAAACGACAGTAACATGCACATGGAACTTCATACATTTAGACATTTTTATTTAAGCCGGCATTGGTAAATTCAGTTTAATTCAGGTAAAGTCACAGGTATCCCACAGTTATTGAAAATGTCAGGGAATTTTAAAATAGTGTTTTCCAGTCATTTGTATATAGTCAATATGCTGTTTTTTGTCTGTTTATGCTCTTGTTAAAGTAACGTGCTTGCAAGCAATTAAGGAATTCTGATTTGTAAGCAAATTCATTTGAGTTAGTTCTTTTCAATGAATCAATTTCAAAAATCCATCTTATTGATTCATTTGTGAATCGGCCTGAATACTGTATATATTATTCTGTAAAATTATTATCCCGTAAATCACACATCAAACATCTGAAAAGTTCATGGAAAAGTCATGTTAGTTCATTGGTCAACTTGTTCATTTATTCCTTCCTATTTTTTTATTTGATTTGATTTATTCAGTGATCTTCTAACATTAGTCGCTGTGCTTGGATTTTCCAGTACAACTTCTGTATCCAGGAGTCAGGACTACGGCAGGAGTTTAAAACTGTGATTAGGTGTTTGACTGGAGGACTTGCAGGAAAGTGTGTTAAAATGTAATATTATCTCAGCAGGAGAACATTCAAACACAAAAACCTTAAAGAGTTGGGCACGTTGAGATCACAACCTCAAAAGTTTATGAGCGGTAGGAATCTGAAAAACTCAAACTGGTTGGAAAGTTAGCGGGTGGTTTTAATGTTTATATATGCGTGTCTGTGTTTTGTCACATGAAATGCACACTGAATATGTGAAGCAGACGGCAGGAACAAATACAGTCTTTCTTTAAAACTCTTAATAGCAAACAAAAAAGGTTCAGTGTGAGAATGTTCTTCCGTCTAATGTGAATGGTGTGGGATGGTGGGTTCAGATGACTCAATCCTCTGTGCTCACTTTCTCTCACTCTTTCTTTCGTCCGGATGTTCAGAATAAGGAGTTGATGAGTTATTCCCTGCAGAGCGCAACCCTGGAAAACCCCGAAATTTCCTGCCGAACGTTCAGCTACATGCAAAGCCACAACCCATAAAACGATCACATATGCTGTACATTTTCTCACATGTTGGGCCAAATTCAATCTCTTAAATATCTTTTTACAGCAATGAGATTAAATGGAGAGCGAATAGAGACTTCTGCTTTTCCTGAGATTAGACCCCAGTAATCTAGCACGAGTTTCCATAGAGTTTAAGAAGAGATCAATGTCTCAAACTGTTCTCAGCTTAACTCTATTAAGTTTCCTGCTATGAAGAGAAATCTTTGAGCAAGGTTTTCTACAATAAGTACTTTTCACTTCAGTATTTTGAGTGCACAGCAGCAGAATGTTAATGTCTGTGGCTCTTTCTTTCCTGCTTTTAACAAGCCCTCTAGTGTTTGTTTTCAGTGGATAGTTTCAATTATTTGATATAAGAATTAGTATCAACATAGAGAGTTCATTGCTCTTAATATAAACTGCTTTTACTGGTTTAGACTTTACCAGTTCCAAAACAAAAGCATGGTGTGAAATCTCACAAGATTACATCCAAGCAAATATTATTTTTTTAATACCAAAATCTACAATCCAATCTCTCTCCAATACCCACGTTCACATTATTTTTAATCTAATATTCAGATTTTAAAAACATTAGAACATTTCTTTAAAGCAAACTAGCATGGTTCAGCTAGGAGAATAATAGCCCATGATGACTTTCCAGATCTGTGAATATCATTAATGCACAAGGGGAAAACCAAGCATCACATCAGCTCTCTGGAGCACACTGCCATGGAAACTACATCCCAACACACACACACACATCAGGTGGCTTGTTACCCTTCCTCTGCACTGAGGCTCTATTGGAACCTCTCAGACACACTTGTTCAAGCTTTATTCATTTTGTTGTTTGTGTACACACAGTGGCATACACCTTACACCTGCAAATGATCACTGACATACTATGTCAAAGAAACACAGCTCTCCATCCAGCTCTCTCTCTCTGAGTTTTTTGTATGTGAATGCACAAATGTAGCTAACCAGGGTAAAAAAAAATACTTTTTGCAGTAGCAGATACAGTATACTGGGAAAATGTACTCTTTTTTTTTTTTTTTTTTTTTTTACTGGATGTGAAAATATATTTTACACTTAAAAATATATAAATGTACAATGCATTTTATACTCCTTTTTGTGGTAAATATATATAAAAAAATATACTCCTTTTTTTTGGATTTAATTTGGTCACATAAAAAACCTCCTAAAAGCCTGTTTTTACTTCACTTGGCACTTGACTGTTGCTTATTTTTTTACCCTGGAGCTACTGGAAGATACTTTCTTCATCGGAGGCCTTCTTTGTATCTTCTACCAAAGCATAACTAAAAACATAGGATAGTCCCTACTCCCTACCGGCCTCGGCACGCCCAGGTACCTGCTTCTAAATGTGCAGGATAATTGCTCTGTCTGAGCTGTTATGATTAGAGACCAGTGGAATGATGGATGGCTTGCATGTCAGATGTTGACTGGCACTGTAAGACTCATCTGAGAAAGTGTGTGCCCTTCAAAGGCCACGTATGCATTAATGCATTTGAGCATAAGCCATGCAGGACAAATGTAGCCTGGGGTGGATTTCTCCCTTCTTTGGTACTTAGTGTGTGATGGACTGTCAAGTGAATTTGGATCTTATTAGAGTGCATATGTCAGAAAACATTTCTGTTGAAGTGACTTGAACCTTTCAGTTTGTTCCAAGACCCAATGTGCACACGCAACAATTTCTGGACCACTTTGGACAAAATGAGCTTGACAGAGATCAAATATCATCCAAATTGAGAGACAATACTAGAAGTAACTGTACTTGCTGTTGTACTTGCTGTCTTTGTGGAGGATACCTGTGTGAGGGGAACTGACTTCTTCGTTGCAAAGAAATGCCTCAGAATTATGATGATAGTTTATAGAAAATCTAATACCGTTTCTTTGCAGTTGCATACTGTTGTGATATTTTGTTACTGAATGCAATGGCATTCAGTCCTTTTTAAGTGTGACTTAAGTGTCCCAATAATTTGGGGTCACTGTATAGGCCATATGGGTTTGAGTTTACCTGGTGCGATTGAGGGATGTGAAGAGGTGACATTACGACTCATGTTAACTGCTTTCATCTCTGTTTGTCCCTCCTCTTCCTTCTTCGCTCCACCAGAGGAAGCAGTGTTCAAGTTGCCTTTCCCGGCACCAGTGCCTGAGCTGGAAGCACTCTGGCTGGGTGTCTTGATGAGCGGGGTGGGCTGAATGGAGATGGGGGTCTGCTTTAAACTCAGTGCATGGAGGCCTGAGGACTGAGAGGTGGAAGACGCCCCCTGATGGTTGCGCAGGGCAAGGTTCTGCACCTATGAAAGTCATAATGTCAATAAAGGTTTGAATTCAAATTAAACATTTGAGTTGTTGTAATATTTGAAAAATAAATATTTAGCTTTTTTTTTTACCTAGACTAATGATCCGAAAGTAATGTGTAAATAATCCCTATTGGAATTTCTATTATAATTTGGAGCCAATTATAATGATCTAATCCTAATGTGATCAAATAAGAATCTTAAAAAAAAAATGAACTATGATCCTACTGCATAAACATTTGGCTGAAATAACCCTTTAATATTATTTGAATATTTATGGAATTTTAATATTATTAGTATTGCATTGAATGGCTTCACATTATAATTGAAATACCAAGTAATCTGTATATACCTTTAGGATTTTTGTCAAGACAATTTTGTCAATTGTATGAATGCTTCAATAAGATAATTGGATGTGAATGTATTACAGTATATGTGTGCACCTGTGCAGAGGCAGACTGTGTGTTATTGGTTGCATTAGTGTCAGATTGTAGAGCAGTTACTGTAGCAGTTGGAGCCAGGATCAGCTGAGAGGACAGAGGGACGGCTCGGCCCAGACTCCTGGCTACATGCACAAGATTACTCTGTTGAGCCTAAAATAATCACACATTAACATGCTCATTATTTGTTAAATGTTTATTGACCTTCAGTACATTATGATGATTTGAACCCTCATTTCACTTTTAAGAATGATGCTTAAAGGGATAGTTCACTTGGAAATTAATTTTTGGTATGTTTTAGCTTACCTCAAGGGCATCCAAGATGTAGGTGTCTTTGTTTCCGCAGTAGTTTTAATTTTGATATTTTTAGGTCAAACCGTTCTTGTCTGTCAGTCATATAATGCAGGTCTATGGTCACCACCTCAAAGAGCATGCACAGAGAAGTCCAAATTAAACATGATTTAATGACTCGTAAATGTAAGTACACATTGATGGCCTAAGACACGAAACGAGCGGTTTGTGTGAGAAAACGAACAGTATTATTATCATCGTTTTTACCTCTTGTAATCACAGCCACGTCCAAGTGATCTGAGGGCGCGGGCGCTTCGGTCTGCGCAAGCGCCGGAAGTGATCTCTCACGCGTGTACGTCACTCGTTTACACAGATTTCGGAAGTGTTACCTTTCACTGTGAAGATCTAAACATGTTTAGACATACAGGAAATCGCAATGGAAGACGATTTCGATATATCAACAGACAACGTTGAATTTTTTTCGCAACTGCGCGAGAGATCACTTCCGGCGCTTTCTGGCGCTTGCACAGACCGAATCGCCCGCGCCCTCAGATCACTTGGACGTGGCAGTGGTTACAAGAGGTAAAAACGATATAAATACTGTTCGTTTTCTCACACAAACCGCTCGTTTCGTGTCTTAGTCCATCAATGTGTACTTACATTTACGAGTCAATAAATCATGTTTAATTTGGACTTCTCTGTGCATGCTCTTTGAGGTGGTGACCATAGACTTGCATTATATGACTGACAGACAAGAACGGTTTGACCTAAAAATATCAAAATTGAAACTACTGCGGAAACAAAGACACCTACATCTTGGATGCCCTTGAGGTAAGCTAAAACATATCAAAAATTAATTTCAAAGTGAACTAGGCTATCCCTTTAAGGGTGTGTTCACACTTGTTCGGTTCGCTTGGTAAAAAAAAAAAAAAAGTATTTAGTCCTGGTCCGCTTAGCGTTCATATTGGCTTTTTCCTAAAGGCATAGAGATTTGTTCACAACCTGATTGGTTGTCTTTTATGACGTATATTTCTAGACTGAACTTACTGAACATCCAAAACAATGCTGTGTGCTGGGCTAAATGCGCTTGTTGTATGTGCGTATTCTGCATATGATGGTATTTTGACCAGCGGAGAACTCGTGAAGAGCTTATAAAATGTGTAAAGGAGTCAAAACAGCGGCAGGAATCCCTCTGTCACACACACAAACGAAGATCTGCTGCGAGGAGACGCGGTTCTAATGCCTGTACCGAACTACGATGGGCAACATCACGACTATGATGAGAAAAAACAGGCATGCTTGACTTGAGCATTCGGTCCTTTTAGGGTCGTATCTCGTGACATGTCCTGTTTTTGGATCTTTTACATGTGTTCATATTTCATTTGAACCGTACCAGAGTTCGTTTGGAAGCAGACTGCCTTTTTTCAGTGGATGGCAGCGTTCACACTTATTCAAACGAACCGCACTAACAGAGCAATTGCACCAGGGTTTGTTTTAATCGAAACCAAACATGCCAAGTGTGAACACACCCTAAATGTGAACAAAACAGTGAAAAGCAGCATAGATTGACAGGCCAGCATATCAGTTATTGGCTTTAAAACTAAAATATTTGGGAGTTATCAGTTATGGTCAAAATGCATATCTCTACAAAAATGATAATAGGTCAGTAAGAAGGAATATGGTGTTATTGTATAATTATCCAGACAATAGATTAATTACACTGTTAGGTGCTTTATCTGTGATATATTAGTTAAAAAAGAAGGTCAAATATTGTTTAAACCAATTATCAGTGGCCTAATTTAGCTGAATTCATCCAACATATTTCAATCTGACATATATATAAGAATCTTCACAAATATGAAAGACTCTTGTGTTTGTGAGTACAGGTGTGCTCACCATCTGTGCCCGCAGGTACATTTGAGCTTGGCTGGCTGTCAGGGTGGAGCTCGAGGTGTTGCCTAGCAACACTGCTTGCTGGGAGATCCCAGAGGGGGCGGAGTTTACGCTCTGGGCACGACTGATCAGCTGAGCAGCGGCAGGGGATGTGGTTAAATTAATCTGTGGGAATAAGAGAGACAAGAGTTGTGACATAAGCAGCCTGAATGTTGTCACATGCAAAAACAGAATATCATAACCAGTACAAGATCTTGACGTGATTATACAGGCATATTTGTAGTGGATGCATCCAAATAAAAGCATACTGTGGTCTGTGATGGTCCACTCTGGGTAGATGAGGTCCCATTTTGGTTTGAACTCTGCCTGCCGGCTGCTAAACTGGCCTGAGAGGGAGAAAACATGACAGTCAGACAAAGTATGAGTGTATTTGTGTGCATTATGCTTCTGTCTTGCTATACGAGACTGCATGCTAAGCGACCTGCTGCACTGCTGCGAGGCTCTGGAGCTGTGCTGTGCTGAGGTGCTGCTGCTGCAGGGCTGCTGTTTGCAGCATCAGATGCTGCTGTTGAGCTGCGTACATCTGCTGTAGGTACTGCGCCGCTGTGCTGGGCTGCCTGTTTAGAGCCTGCTGGATCACCTACCGTTCAAGAGAGACGGAGAAAGAGTGAGAAACCAGATTAAAGGTGCAGTAAGCGATTTCTGAGAAACACTGTTGAAAGTGGATTGGACCGAGCACCACAACACACTTGTAGCCAGTCAGCAGTAAGGGGGCGTGTCACTCATGTTGGGGAGGAGAGAGAGATTTGAAGACTGTAGAAAGAGAGATGGTTGAGACTTGAGGGACATTACAAAAGAGAAAAGGTCAGAGGAATATCAAGATGGGTTATGATCAGGCAAGAGCTTTAAGACCCACGTTAATATTAGGGCGTTTTCACACCTGAAAGTCCGCACCAAGTTCCGAACCAAAGTTTGCGTTTTGATACATTTTATACTTTCAGAAAGTTTTGGTTTGGTTTCACACTGCAATTATGCGAGCGCACTAAAGAACTTTACGTGACCTACTTGCGTCCTGTCGTCATCATCTATGTGGGCTGCATCTTGACATTGATTGGTTTTGTAAATGGACGTGCGTCTGACGTCAGCGTGTTGTCAATTCGGCGGGTAACTTTGACAACATGAATGAACAGATGCATATCGTTGCAACTATATTGTTATTTTTATGGCATAATTACCTGCAGCACCAACTATACACAAGGCTAGTTCAAATTCGCCAAATGAACGTCCTCGTCGTGCGAACATTTTATCGTCGCCGGCAGGGAAGGAGGAGAAGACTGCAAGTTGACTTCTTATGTCATCAGACCATACTTCAATTAAAAACCTCGTCTCCTCTCCCCATGTGCTGCCACCGTACCACGGCTCATTTTTCCTGCCACCTTCTGTTTTTTCGGCTATGCGGGAACCACCGGAAGTTCCTGTAAAAGTTCTGAAAGTCCGAACCATACAGAAATACTGTCACACTAGAAACGAACCAAACCTTTGTTCAGTTTGATCCGGACCGAGACTACCTCTTTTCGTCGGACCAAATTTCATCTGTTTGGTCTGGACCGTGGTCCGGGGGAGGTTTCACACCTGTAATTTTGATTCGGACCAAACTGAAAAGTCCGAAAGTCCGGACCAAACAAGGTAGGTGTGAAAGGGCCCTTAGAAAAGCTTTCCAGCGCTGGAGAGACCTAAGTGGGAAGGCCTGAAAATGGATGCAGAGGTTGCATTGTTTCTGCTCCATGCGTAACATTGGTATTTGCTATGTTTCACAGATCCGAGATCTGTACTCCGTTGTATTGTTAGCTAAAGTAACAACAGGACTGTTTTGAGTGTCATTGTTTGTCTGGTGCTGCTGTGCTGTTGGTGACTAACAACAACAAATGTTCTTTTTTTTCTGTCCTTGTCGTTCTTTCGCCATCTTCGCTTTATTTTTTTGCAAAGCATTATTTTGCTTTGCTTCAGCTTTGATAAAGCGACATCCACTCTTGCATTGCGTGTTTGTGCATTTTGGGGGCAGAGCAATGAAGGGATGAGTGTGTTTGTTTGGGTTGATTTCATATCAAGTGTTTCTCAGAAATCGCTTACTTACTGCACATTTAATATCCCAATTGCTTCACATAGAGAACAATGAAATTAAATGTAGTGAAAATGGAGACTTCAGATCAAGTCTCAAGATTTATTTTCCCTGAGAAAATGAGAAATGACCTTGGTAATCTCACTTGTCAATAGTGTCTCAAAATATTCTCAGATTCGCCAAGATACTAAAGTCTGCAATCAAAGTCAGAGATCTCAATATGAACTCAACCATTTCTCATCAGTTTAGTTTACATTAGTTTTATAGCTCTGTACACTTGCTGTCAACAATTGTCTAACGTGTTTCTATTGTAGTATTCACCTTAAGTAGTTTGACAGAAACATCTGAGACAAAGCTGATACTCAAATCATAAATAGCTGCAAGTTGCAAGATGTGATTTGAGGTGATGTCAAATATTTGTAGGATTGCAATTCTAATCTTTTAATGTCCCTTGAGCAACCGTTTTTTGTTCCAGCATTTGTCTCCTCCTTTTGGTCAGAAAATTAACTGCAACAAGCTTGAAAGAAAAGTAGAATTGTTGTTTTTCACTTCCAATATTGCTTTCAAGGTCAGCCTTGATGTTGAATATGATTTTATTATCATAATATTAATATTAATTTAATACGAAGATGTTTAATATTAACCACAGTATTACAGGGCTTGTTAATGCACATATGCTAATGCATGAACTCTTGCAATACAACAATAACACATTTGCAGTATATTGTATAGTATAACGGTTACATTTTATGACATTTATGTGTAATAGCACCCAAATATATACTTTTACATCCAATAGAAAAATCAACGCTTTTGTATTGTGATACTTCAATAATAATGGTACTTAAAAATGATTGCAAACCATGTGCACAAGAAATGAACACCTACCTATTTTAACAGTTGTTCTGTAATATTGATCTTGAGCTAGCATCCCATAATAACATGAAAACAACATTCAGACCAAAATCAACAAGATTCCAAAATACCTGAACAGCAGGTATTTTGCAGACGTTCAAACAACACTTTCAGGATATGATGATGGTGTAGTAGATAAGTTCATCGGTCTTATCACTAATAGTCTTCTTATCGTTTTCTTCCAGCTATAATATTTTCTGCTTTATCCTGCACTTGTCTCATCCTTTATGTCCTCAATGAACTGCCCACAACTGCACAGTTGCTAGGCAACAGGCATCCTGACCCCTGGTCTTGGTGTGAGTAAAAGTGCAGCCTGAACTGAGTTTAATGTTCTTGCTGCTTGTATCTGATCATGCACTGATATATATTGCCACAATTTTAAATTTTGTTTTACACAATTAAGTAAACATAGGGGGTGAAGTTGGATGATCGGATGTTGCCATTTTTCAGTTTGCCATGTGAAGCAATTTATATATGAATTATTTCAATTTATATATAAGTTTATCTATATCACATTCGGCTGAAATCTAGCACTTAATTTACAAGTAGAGAGAGGCCAAAACCTGAGTCAATAATGAACCACCACATTCCACATCAGGGGAAAGATTGTCTGTCTATGAGGCATGGAAATCTTCATTGTCTTTCCTCCTAAACCTGCTTTCCCTTCTCATATACACACCAGCAGATGGCAGTATGGACTTAAAGTCCAATAATTAAACCTTTTAAGCAAGAAAAAGTGAAGTCTGGTGCAATGCAGTGAGTGGATTATTACAAGAAGGATTGACAAAGAGAAAGGTGGTGTTTTTAAACATGAACACTCAGTTGTCTATATTTAAATTGATTGATTCTGCCAAATGGTTGTTTGACGCACCTGTACAGTTTGTCGGTCAGGTATGCCGCTGTAGACAGATATCTGTGGAACGGCCTGTCTTCCGCTGCTGGTGGAGCTGACAGTGCTGGCAGTGGAGGCACTGGTGGTGCCCGTGGAGTTTGTGGTGGAGGTACTGGTGCCCATAGTGCTGCTGGCACTGGAGGCAGGAGTGCTCTGCTCACCCTCCATTGTGCCGCCCCGATGCCTCACCTTTGACCCACGACCACCCCGCTGCCACACTCGACGCAAGCTGAGAGAGACAGAGAACAAGAGTTTTAAAATTCCTGTTACTAAAATCCTCTTCCATAGTACAATACATACAACAATGCTATATGCAGGGATCCTCTGTCTGTATATCTATCTTTATAAAAAAACTGTTGAGATTGTGGAGATACTGAAAAAAATAGCAATTTCTATAGCTGATAGTTATGAAATATGATCATAAGTTATGAAATGTGATGCGCTAACAAAAAGAGTACCAGGGTAGTACCGTGTTTTTTGAACATGTACTATGGTAATACTATAGTATTCTATGAAATACTTTGGAGTATCATGTAAATGCCATGGTCTATATGGCAATCATTCTTTAGCATGTTAAATGGCAACCATGGTATTACCATTTGATACCATCACAGTACCCTTTATAAAGGTATATAAAACGAGGGGGGAAGAGCAAAATACAAAAGCATAAATGAAAGGTCCGAGCTGGTAGCTTCATTCACATACTGTACATTGCTGAAAATTACATTCTAATTGCATTTGAGTTCATCCTGTCATCATGAGTGTTACATTTCAGCAAATCTTTTTTTCAGCCATCTCCAGTTACCACCAGATGAACAGCCATGGAAGATGGATTAGATGGTCAGGAGAAGAGTTTCCCGTGTCAAGATGCGAAGGTTGCCAAACAAAACATTACTTTTTTTGGTTCAATCTGTTTTTTATATTATTAAAATATCTGGGTTCAATACAATCTAAGCTTGTTAGCAGGTTGTCGATCACCACAGATAATTTGAACTTAATTTCCATTTACAGTAATGCACTTACAATGGAAGTATAGAAATCTGGTATACTGTATACTGGGCAAGTTTACTAACATAAGACTAATATAATAAAATCACTAAGTAACTGCAACTTTACATCCAATTTTGATACCCTATGATGTACAAAACTTGCTATATCAGAAAGGACTGTTTGTTTACCGAAAAAAATCCTTCCACATGAATTACATTGGTGATTCATAATCAGTTCATCCTCCTAGAAAAGTAGTCCCACTACTTACAAGGCTATAGACAACTTTAAAGTTCAAATAACACATTTTTGTACAGAAAAATTTGTTATTTGAAAGTGTTTTTTTTAAACAACAACTTACTGATCCAAACTTTTGAACAGTAGTATTTACAGTATATATACACTACCATTCAAAAGTTTTTTAAAGAAATTTGTACTTTTATTCAGCAAAGATTCTTCTAATTGATCAAAGTAAAGACAGTGGCAGTAAAGACATTTATAATGTTACAAAATATTTCTATTTCAAATAATTCTGTTCAATGTACTATGGTTTCCATAAAAAAAAAATCAAGCAGCACAACCATTTTCAACTTTAATAATAAAAAGGTGAAATAAATACATTTCTATAGATAACAGTTATTTTAAATGGTAATGTTTCACAATATTACTGTTTTTCAAAAACGTTTTAAAAATCTTACCGTGTGTGTGTGTGTGTGTGTGTGTTTGAGAAACAAGCAGCACATTTATGTCATTAAATCTTCCTGAATGTGTAACCCAATCAACTTCCATTGAAAGTGCATTACTCTAATAATAATGGCTGTTTTTATACAGAGTCTAACTCATTTTCTGTGGTAATCAACAGCATGCCACAGATGTGGTGAATAGAGCTTGTTTTTAACCTGAAACATAAAGTTGACATAAATACAAGTATCACAAGAGAGTCATATGTCTGTTCATCCCATCATACTAACATTAAGCGTGTATTCAGGGCTATTGAATGAAAAATAGGTGTCTAAGCTGAGGGGTTACCCATCTAAATCTCTTCACTGGAGTCGCCATAGGCACTGTTGTTAAATGACTCTCCTATCCTTTCCTTTCTGTCTTTTGGGGTTTGTTATTCAGACATAGAAAGTGGTAATGGGATTGAGATGGGGCACAGAAGGAGAACAAGTGTTGGGACGGAGGGGGGGTGGTAGTTTCAGAGGGGAAGTGTGGCATGGTTTCAATTATACTCATTTAATTACTCACACACGTGGTTGAAAGCCACTAACCCCACGCACTCTACACCCCCTTCCCAGCTACCCCAAATCGCCCCCCTTTTTACCCACAACAAACCATTATGCCTCCCCCTTTCTAGGTCTGTTATTACGCCAAGAGATGGTGTAATATCAGTGAGCCCTCCCCGTAAGCCATTTCCTGCGCTCCAAAGAACTAATGGAGTTGGGCATTGTAATTAGATCATCTAAATATAAGTCCTGAGCCTCATTAATATGCATTAATGGAAGGGCCATAGGGACATCTGAAAACATGGTAACAGAATTAGAATATTATTAAATGTTATACAAAAACTGTTATTCGTTGAATTAAACATGCAAAGTATTGTGGTCATGTGACATTGAGCATACAGTTTGAAGCAATTGTATTGTATACTTGTATGAGTAGTGTATATAATGTGTGTGTGTGTGTGTGTGTATAAAAAAACATGCTAAGTGTGTGTGTGCGTGAGTACCGGTATGTGTGTATATATATATATATATATAGCACACACATTTAGCATAATTTATACTACTCATATATACAAGTATACTATACAATTGCTTCAAACTGTATGCTCAATGTCACATGACCACAATACTTTGCATGTTTAATTCAACGAATAGACAGTTTTTTCTTTTGCTATTTTAATGCCATTTTGTTTAAAACATTGTTTTATTAATGCTTGGCAGTCTTTGGGTATTTCGTGCATTCAGAAAGTTTGCATACTTAATACTACATAAATAGCACATGGTAGTACCCCATCACAACCTGTTCAGATGTTATGAGCAGTGTTCTATAGTAACACCAGAACGTGCTACGGTGGAAATGTGTAATGGAATCGCATGCATTCATGATTAAAGCCTGCTCTGTTCATATTTAGCAGCTGATTGGTTTTGCTAATGAGAGGGGAGCTGTTATGTTGAGTCCAAGTCCTGGGCCCCTCAGAGGCTTCCGGGCCAACCAACCATACGCATCCCACCAATGAGAGGCTCTCTACTGCGTACAGTTTAAACACAACTATTAAACACACTGTCACCTTTAGCAGAGAAAAATAAATCTGTCAGTAATTCCAAAACACAGAACTAACTAACAGAACATTCCAGGAGCGGGAAAAGTTAAAGGAGTGTTAGGTAAGAAGATGGAAGGATGAGGAAGGATGGAAATGCATGACAGAAAACAAACATGCATCAATATGCATGCACTGAGAGATTTCAGAGACATCCAGGTTAGCCCAGGGCCCATCTCTCAGACTCAGACAAAAACCCAGCTCCTACCTTTTCTGAGGGGCAGCACGAGCTCCGTTTGGCCCCGTGGTGAGCCCCATGCCTCAGGACCCTAATGCTTCTTTGTCTAGTGTGCGTTCTGCACCCCAATCCTGCCAGATCACTGCAAGCATCCACCGTCCCAGTCGCCAGGCACAGACACTCACTCTCTTTCTCTCTCCCTGCTTCTCTCCATCTAACACACGCATGCAAGACCCCCCCCCCCCACCCCCCCGGTTCTGTGGTTTCCTAGCGACAGCCAACTGGGGGTGCCTTTTGGAGCCCTATTGCAGAGCTGTCTGCTGATTGGACAATTGGTTCTTCTCTAATGAGGGTGATGGTAATGATTTTTTATCCCCCTCTATAAGCACCACCAGCCCCCCCCCCCCCATTTCAGAATATTCACCGGTGATGATTTGTACTGCCAAAGCAGAGGAAAAGGTCTGTCCCAGAAAAAAAGACCTGGATGAAAATGTCATACTTTATATAGATATTTAGATGCATTTAGAAATATAAACATGATTGATAATTTTATCATTGTCAATAAAATCATTATTATTTTTGATAATACGTAAGGTTAGGAATTTCAATTAACCCTGAAAGTTGAGTATAAAAATACTGGTATGCAAGTCATCCCGAACTGTTTATGATACAGACACCCTTGCATCCTGGAGAGTTTATTTTAGCTCACTGATGTTTACTTTAGTACAAGACACCCATAACACACTAGCAACCACCTAGCAATGTCCAATAGTCCTCGATGGACTAGTCCTCCATCCTAGCAATAATGTAGAATACCTTATAAACCATAGATGCACCCATATGAACCACATAGCAATCCACTGAAAATACTTTAGAAACAGCATAGCAACGCCCTAACAACCACATAGCAACACCCTGGCACCTCCCAGGAGCAAATAACTGGAGCAAATAGCACTCTCAGTTTTAAGCAAATGTAATATTCTAGTAAAGGTAATTTTTGTAATTAAAGTCAGTGCTAAAAAAAAGACAAAGAAGAGACACAAAGCGCAGACGTGGTGATGTAGGAAAACACTAGTTCACAGTCTTGGTTGATTAAGTGTTGTGTGCTGATGAAGCTGCCTCTTAATAATCAGCGATTAGAGCATCACTAAGCAAAGGGTAAATACCCCCAACTGCTGTGGCAATCACAGTCAAACCACACACTCATGAAAAGTAGACCTCATGCAGCTGATGTGTTATTCAGATTTAAACAGGAGTATGCGAATAGCATTTTGGGGCCTGCTTAAATCAGGGCACAATAAAAGATGATTCTGGTCATTCTGAAGATGCCTTACTAAATTGAAAATATACATACAAGGGGGGCTTTCTGACCTTGGAGGAGGAGATAAAAACGCCACTGTCGTGAAAAGTAAATTAAGGCACTTATTGTGCAATACCTCTGGGCTGTGGTGTTCTGAAATATATTCCTTCATCTATACTCTCATATAATATCACATTGATTGCGCACAGACGGCCATGAACGTCATTGATTGCCATCTTCTTATTAGCATATAGATTAGCTTCTGGTGGGGCCGGGTAAATTAAGGTGGAAGAAGGAAGGTTAAAGAAGGAATGAAGAGGATAAAACAAGGTAGGCAAGGTGGAAACAACATTAGGAGAAGGGACGGACAGATTGGGAAGATTCTGTTGTTTGTTGTATACAAGGGAGACCGGGGATAGATTTCAGATTTCACACACTTTTTGAAATAATTATTTTGAAATAATCTTTCCATTCTGTTCTTTGGGATTGTCGTTCATTCTTTCTCTTTATGTTGTTTATTTCCGTACCTCCCTTTTTCCATCGTCATTTTTACATGTGCTGCATCCATTCAGAAGACTGAGGATAGAAAGAACGAGAGTAAACGAGAAAAAGAAAATATTGGAAGAGAAAGGAAAAGAGATGGACAGGAAAATCAAGAGGGACAGATGAGGATGAGGCAGTAAACTGGGGTGGGATGGGATGGGATGGGATGGGGGTGCTGCTGTCTGTCTGGTCTGGGTCTGATCCATATTAGTTTCTCACTCCTCCACTCAGCATGAAATGAGTGGGGGGCAGGGAAATGAGGCGGGGGTGGGCAGCCATCGGGAGCGAGGACAGATGCAAGAGCATTGAGAGATGGAGGAATGCTGATTTCACGGTGTCTCTCACATCACTAAATTTGGACTCATAGACTGCTGTAAAAGTCCTAGTAAGTGGTAACTAGTCTGTTTGCTGTTATGTTGGTAAGAGCACTGGTTAATACTCGGATTTATCATCAGTGAGGTTTTTTGCACTTTTGTCCCAGGACTGTTTGATGGTGATTAGTGAGTCCACTAACCGATAAAGATTTTTTTTGTTTATATTTTATACTCATTTATGTGTATTTATTTATTTATTTTTTTTGCATTACATTTTTAATGCGTATAGTTTAGATTTTCATTATACATTATTTTATTTGCATTTGATTTTATATACTTTATTTTTAATTTAAAAAATATTTTAATTTTAAATATTTTTTTAATTTTGGTTATTTTTTCATTTATAATCATTTTTATTTTATGCTATTTTTTAATTTATTACTTATTTACTTTGAAATCCTGGCTTTGAAAAAAAGTAAATTGTTTGAATTAGGGGAAAAAAATTATTTGCTTATGAAATCTGCCTAATTTCCAATAAAATAATATGATATGATAGGGTCACCAATAACCTGTCCATCTGTATACTAAATAATAAATATCAAACTGTCCTGTGTTTAAACTAAATTGAAATCACAGATCAAAACGTATGCATTATTTAAATAAAAATGTATTTGTGTTTATTTGTTTGTTTTCAAAGCAGCTTTACAGAAAATCATGATGTTAATGTTTATATTATATTAATATCTTCATGTCTCATTAAGCAGATTAGAATTGGGCGATAATGTAGTTTACATTTTGCAACGATACAAGCAATCAGTAGTTGAGATATGCAGGCCATACTATATGGCTTGAACAACAAATCACAGCCAAAGAGCACTTGCTGGTTTCTGTGGGCTTTCTACTTGACTAATGACAGTGTACGACAGTGAACAGTCTCACCGTAACCCTCTCTCCATCCTGCTCTCTTTTCTTTCTCCTCTGAGACTCAGTTAATTGGTGTCCCTTTGGTACCCCATTCTGTGGCAGTAGAGCCGCTACGGCTCCAGACAGACATTCCCAAGTGACTCTCTTTCCCTGAGCAGAGCCGCAGCATCAATGCAGGGGAGATGGATTAACTCTCCCTGAGAAGGCTGTGAATATAGTACACTGATGATGACCACTAATAGGAGGCCCCTCATACTTATTAATGGGAAGGAGGATATGAGTGTCAGTAATGAGCACCTCTGGAACCACAAACCTTATTATGATTGTAAAAAGAATTGGTTGCCGTTGGTTGTTTGGTGTTCATTGATTTATTCTTTTATATGGCTATAGTTTTGTTCTCCTTCATAGACATGCCAACATTTAAATTAAAGGTGCATTGTAATTTTTAGGAGGATCTATTGACAGAAATGCAATAATATACATAACTATGTTTTCAGTGGTGTATAAAGATCTTACTTAATGAACCGTTATGTTTTTATTACCTTAGAATGAGTCATTTCTATCTACATACACCGCGGGTCCCCTTACATTGAAATGCACCGACAAGTTTCTACAGTAGCCCTAAACGGGTTTCTTTACTATGTTGTTCTTCATGCAAGGAAGCTAGCTAAAGTCATCGAATAAAACACTGACACAATGATGAACAAGTAACAATAATATTCGCAATAACATATCGTTTTACTGAATAATAAAGTAAACCTAATCTCTTAATTTATCTTTGTAAAGAAACCTCATTGCTTAACTGGCTACACTCTGCGGTCTCGGACTACGACATCTTTTCCTGTTGGCCACCGTAACTTTTGTTGGTTGCAATTCGCAACCTCACCACTAGATGCCGCTAAAAAATCACACACTGCACCTTTAAAGGTGTAATTGTTTCCTCATTTCTTTTCATTTCATTGGTTTAAAATCATGTATACTGATATGAGATGAAGACTCCAGTAATTTTTTGAGTCAATACTCAAGTTGTATTTTTCACTCTCATGAGGGCCAACATAGTAAGATCACATGACCAGCCAAATTAGTAAACCCCCTGTTGTTGGTCATTTTTGTAGTAAATTCTGCAAATAGCGCATTTGTGCAATGGCTTTCTACAATAACTGAACATTTTTGCTTTTAGTAAGTAGTTTGTAGGAAAATTGTAGTGCCATTGCTTTTACACTGAATCGCACACCTTTTTTTTTGTTACAAACTCTTAAAGGGATAGTTCACCCAAAAATGAAAAATCTGTCATCAATTACTCACCCTTATGTTGTTCCAAACCCATGAGACTTTCGTTCATCTTCGGAACACAAATAATAATTTTTTTGATGAAATCTGAGAGATTTCTGTCCCTCCATTGACAGCTACGCAACTACCACTTTGACGCTACAAAAAGTTCATAAAGAGATCGTAAAATCGAGCGGCTTTGTCCAAATTTTCTGAAGAGACTTGATCGCTTTATATGATGAACAGATTGAATTTAGGCTTTTATTACCATATAAACATTAATCAGCAAACATAAAAAGAAGCTCAATCAAACCTATTGCAGAAGCTCAAATGTGCTGCGTAACACGAGAATGAACCTCATTGGTTCTCGCACGTCAAGCGAACATGCTTGAGCTTCTGTTTACCACAACTGATGTGTGAATAATGTTAAAAGCCTAAATTCAATCTGTTCATCATATAAAGCGATCAAGTCTCTTCAGAATTCAATTCATATGGGTTCGTTTTACGATCTCTTTATGAACTTTTTGTAGCGTCAAAGTGGTAGTTGCGTAGCTGTCAATGGAGGGACAGAAAGCTCTCAGATTTCATCAAAAAGATCTTCATTTGTGTTCAGAAGATGAACGAAAGTCTTACAGGTTTGAAACGACATGAGGGTGAGTAATGAAGGGATTTTCATTTTGGGGTGAACTATCCCTTTAAGCCAATGATTTTGGGCAAATCAAAGTGTTTTGAAAAACCAGCCTGTGTTCTTTGAGTGTAACATCTCTTTTCTTGAATGTCAGAATGCTACAAAGCAGAACACCTCTGTGGCTGGCCTGGAGAGTGTGTACATCAGCACAGGAACACACGTCTGT